AGCCTCGTTAATGGATGCCTGGTACACCACAATGCTCTTCATAGATATTTATTCTCTATAAAACAGTGTAAAACCTACTTATCAAATGATTATTTTTATACTCCTATTCTGTGCAAAGTTCTGTGCTGGATACTGGGTATTTAGGGATGAGCAAAAAGTCAAGAATTCTGCCCTCACAAGCATCTGTTCTAATGAGAAGGAAGAGGAAAATTAGAAGTCAGGACAATCTAGAATTACAAATCATGATGAGGACTGATAAAGAAAAAGGATGCAGAGCAAGAAGAGGAGCTGATGGGATAAGATGTGGATGGCTCGTGGGAGACGTCTTCTCTGGGAAAGTATCGGTTAAGATGAAATCAGAAGGATGATAGGGAACCAGCCAAGCGGGGTAGAAGAGAGCTTTCCAGGCAGAGGAAGCAGCAGGTGCAAAGTTCAGGGCATCTGCTGGTCAGAGAGGGGTAGGGAGGACTTGGAGATCTTGCAGAGTCCAGTTGCTTACCCTGGCTAACAGGTGGAGAGGACTATTAGGACAAGGGACACTGTGGACGTGGGACCCCAGTTCAAACATCCTTACAGTGTTAAAGTGAAATGTACTTGAGGCCACTGAGCCGTACACTTAAATTTTATATTATGTCTCCTTTACTATCACCGTGGACAGGAAGCAGATGTTCCCTAAGCATTTGTTTGTTCAGTTGCTAAATCATGTCCGACTCTTTGCGACCCCAGGAACTTCTCCAGGTTTTATCCTTGCGCATTTTATGTAGAAAATGCTCTCTGGTTCCAAAAAGGGTGATATCATCTCATCCAGTCAAATGAACATTAAAGACTGTTAAGCTGTCCTGGTGAAGGAACAAAGAAATAAGCAGATGTACGTTAAAAAAAAAAAAATGTACCTTAGCGTTTTGAGTAATTTTGTGTTTTTTAAACTCTAGGAACATCATTTTGGGGGGGCAGGGGGCACACGTTTCCTTTCACCTGCCCCTCCAGCATTCAGTTCATGCCCATTGTATCTGTGCTGACCAGAAAGGCCTGGACATGTTAGAATCCATCTTTTCTCATTTTTCACTCCACCATCACTGTGAGAATTTAACAGCAGGTCTTTTCTTAGACAGAAATCAGTGGCTGGTGACGCTAGGCAAAAGTTACTTGACCTCTCCCTGAAGCCGTTTTGTCATCCATAAAATTCCATAAATAATAGTAAATGACTCACAAGATGACTGGGAGGATTCAATGAGCTAATTGCCTAGAAGCAGCCAATAAATGATACTTATTTTATTTCACTCTCTCCACAGCATCAAGCTCTCCTTTTCCTTGCTATCACTTCCCACTCTTCCTTTCTGAAACATAAACATATGTCATCTGTCATTCCCCTTCGTTAGCCAGGATTGATTAGAAAACACTAACCGCAGGCTTTGCTCTCCAAAAGAGGCAAAGGGCATCTCATTTTTGTAAGAAAGAAAGGAACTGTAGTTTTAGGATGAATAAGGCCTTTGAAATAATGATGAGCAGTAAAGCTATAACTAGAAGACTAGTTCGCAAAGCAGATTTCTAGAATTTCATTTTATGGCCTTGCCGAATATTTCAAGTAGACTTTTAAAGAGCCCTTTCACGGAAGCCTGGAATGAAAAATGGACTTGGCTGCTGAAGTTGACATTGTGTCGTGCTGGCATATAAATCTCCCTGCTTGGTAAATGGATAATTTCAGTGGAAGTGTAGAGGGCTTCTCTCACTAGACCCCGCCACCGGGGAAAACATAAGGGGAAATGTTCTGGAATGAGTTACTCTCTGACTCCAAATTAAAGGACTCCAATTTCTAATGTGGTTTCAGATTTGCTGGAACCTTTAGGACAAAGTCAATACCTTGACATGGTTATTTAGAGCCACATTTTGAGCTCAGTCACCATCCAAATGGCTCTGTAATATTTAAAGCATTCCAACACTACGACCGTAGCCAGTCACCTTGAAAATTGCGTTCACCAGTGTCATATATAAATTTGATCTATTGAGGACCCTATAATTTTTTTTGTCCTCTCGATTTCTAAATTCTACTCTTTCCAACCATGGGCTTTTAAAATAACAACCTGAGTTGAAATCCATTTAAAATGTGTGTATTAAAAAGATAAATACAAATTAAAGTGTGACCGAGAGAATAAGAAAGTAGAAACTCTTAACGGTTCAGTTCTGTAAGATAAACATCAAGGAGAATCACTCAACTCAGACTTCCCTAGTGGTCTAGTGGTTAAGAATCCACCTGTCAATGCAGGGGACACAGGTTCGATCCTTGGTCTGGGAAGATCCCACATGCCACAGGGCAGCTAAGCCCGTGTGCCACAACTACTGAGTCTGTGCTCTAGAGCCCTAGAGCTGAAACTACTGAGCCCAGATGCCCTAGAGCCCATTCTCTGCAACAAGAGAAGCCACTACAGTGAGAAGCCTGCATATCTCAACTGGAGAGCAGGCCCCGCTCTCCGTAGCTAGAAAAATCCCCGCGCAGCACAGAAGACCCAGCAAGGTCAAAAATAAATTTTTTTTTAAAGAGAATCACTCAGCTCGTCCTTATAGGACTGGACGAGATGGATCTGTAGGAATGCACTGGCTCCCTTCTCCATGGTCCTGTCAGAGATACAAATCCTGCTTGTAGCACACACCCCTGCTTTGCAGGTCTACCTTTCCCTCGCCTGCGACCCCATACGACCTTTCCTTGCTTTCTAGAACACCACCACACCATCTATCATCTGCCACTTGGTCCACGGGGGACCAGCTGCTGAAAGAGCTATTCTTGTTCCCAGCCCATTCTTCACCCCGAAGACCCCTGGGGTCTGGCTCAGCTTCCCTTCCTCCTGGAAACCTCTCCATGGGCCTCTGTCCACAGCACCTTCCTCATTACCCAACTGGTATCTCTCCAGGGTCTGTCCATGCCCTGAACCAGGACACTGGCTTACCCGTGAAACTGTTTGGGTTATAAGTAATAGAAAAAAAAGAATCCACTTAAAACAACTTAAGAAAACATGGCAGGAGACTTCCCTGCAGGTCCAGTAGCTAAGACTGTACTCCCAGTGCAGGGGGTCCAGGTTTGATCCCTGGTCAGGGAACTCGATCCCATGGGCCCCAAGTAAGAGTTTGCACACCACAGCTAAAAATCCCGAGTGCTGCAACTAAGACCAGGCACAGCCAAATATATAAAATAAATTTTAAAAAGGAAAATAAAGGCTGAGCAGGCATCAAAGATTGGGAAATAAGGATTCAGGGGTATTTCCTAGAAGGAATCAAAAGCAGAGAATGAGTTGGGACCCTAAGTAGAGTTAGAATCAGAAACTGCAAAGGGGTTAGGAGCTCGGGCAGCTTCTCATGGGCTGGTCTCCGGCCCTCTTGCCTCCTGTCTCTCTTTATCCTTATCTCTGTTCCCTCCACTTTCTCCCTTGTTCTCTCTCTCCACATACCAGGTTTCCCTTCTGCAATCTTGTGCTCTGACCTCTCCCCACCGTACCCCCCCCCCACCAACATTGCAAGGTGTTCACCACATCCCAGTTCAGCTGCCCAACAGAGACTGACTGCTATCTCTCAGACTAACTGGAAATTCAGTGGGAGTCTGGTTGTAGTTAGCTCAGGTGTCCTGGTCCAGTCGATCAGCTGTGGCCAAGAGCAGAGCCACCCAGGACAGCAGTGGCCAGACCACCCAGGCTTTGCTGTAACACAGCCTCAGTTCTGACCTTGATTTCACCACTTACAGCCCGTGTTACTCGGGAAGTTAACCGAATTCTTTACACTGAAATTTTTCCACCTGTAAAACGGTGATAATGGAAACTAGCTCTTGGTGGTACTGTAAGGACATGAACCTAAAGTGTTTATTTAGCACAGTACCCGGCATATAGGGATACTCAGAACACTCCAGTGCCCACCCCATGGCACTAGTGAACGCATGAAGAGTTAGTTGGGACTCTGTTAATGAAATCCTAGAGGACAGAGCTGCTGGTAATTTATCTTCATGTTCCCAGCAGAATGTGTGGCACACAGAAGGTGTTTAATTCTAAGAGAGTACTGGTTGAACGCACAAAAAGGGTGATGACTCAGAAGTGGGAAGACTCAGGGGTCACCGCTGAATTCCTTCAGGCTTCTCAGTGTCTGCACCATTTCTCTAGTGAGACTCCTCCAGTCTTTCTTTTATAACCAGTATGTCTGCATTCAGTTTTGGCTTGAGGCGGAACGCTGCTGATCCAAGAGAAACCACAAAACTCTAAAGAGACAGTGTATGATTTATGCTACTCGAAAGTTGTGGGGAAAACGGTGAAAAGCTGTTCAGTATTACAACACGACGGAGGAGCTGCTCAGGACACATAAAATAGGAGACAATAAAGTAAATTAGGACTGAACCCCTTAAATGTCATTTAACAGATGAGATGTTCAGATGAGCACTATGACAAAATGAGTCCAGAAAATGCCCCTCTCCTGAACAGTCAGGGGCCAGGAGCACTGTGCCAGGAGACACGGAGGACACTAGGCTTTCCAGTTATTTCTCAAGCTTCCTGGTAATGTCAATTACATGCACCCCCTTCAGGAAATCCAGTCTTTCTTTTATAACCAGTATGTCTGCATTCAGTTTTGGCTTGAGGCGGAACGCTGCTGATCCAAGAGAAACCACAAAACTCTAAAGAGAGTGTGTGATTTATGCTACTCGAAAGTTGTGGGAAAACGGTGAAAAGCTGTTCAGTATTACAACAGGACGGAGGAGCCGCTCAGGACACATAAAATAGGAGACAATAAAGTAAATTAGGACTGAACCCCTTAAATGTCATTTAACAGATGAGCACTATGACAAAATGAGTCCAGAAAATGCCCCTCTCCTGAACAGTCAGGGGCCAGGAGCACTGTGCCAGGAGACATGGAGGACACTAGGCTTTCCAGTTATTTCTCAAGCTTCCTGGTAATGTCAATTACATGCACCCCCTTCAGGAACTTGGGAGTCTTTCGTCTAACCCCTAAAGGGCCTCCTTTGACTTTAGCCAGAGGCAGGTGCAGAGCTTTAATTGCAAGACCAGGACAGGATCCAGAAGGAAGGAGCACCAACTCTTGACCATGCCAGGCCCAGACAAGGCAGGAAGTGTACCTGCCGTGAAATGCTCCACACTTAGTGGATACTCAGAAATATCGGACAAATGAATGAAAAAAAAAGAAAAGTCAAAGAAGGGAATCATTACTCAAATTAGGTCTACTGTGAGAAACCTCAGTGAGCCAGCCTCATAAATGTTAAGTTAGAAAGTATGGTCCTGGACAGGACAACAGTGTGGGCACTGGCTTTCTGGGAGCAGAATTTTCTTGTAACTCTGTGTTTCTTTTCTAAAATTTTTGGGAGGAGGCTCTGCCCTCCAGAGCAGTGATTTCCAACCTGTTAGGTTATGCAGCCCTGTCAGTAAGAAATCCAGGGAGTGCCACATAACACAGTGTATTTATTTATTTACAAATCATGCATTTATCCTTTGGCACTAACACAGTATATATATTACAAAGTACCTTTAAAGGACATTGAAAAGGGGAAACTGCAGGCCACCCTTCCCTTCATGACTGCATTTATGCTGAGTCAGCACAGTCTTTCCCAGCTGTCCTGGGAAGGGGAAGAGAGGAGACGGGTAGGCTGGCGGCGAGGGGCAGGGATTGGTACAAGGACCTAGCCAGAAATGGGAGGGATCTCCTGGATCTTCGCGGGGCAGGTTGGGCCCCTGCGGGAAGACTGACCCAGCTGATAACTTAGTGGCCCAGAGTCACTCCCTGGTTCCCAGACCTCTGAGGAAGACTTTCCTTGGACCACAGATTCCTGAAGGGCCTGACTGGTGCGGGCAGAAGGGCCCCCGCCTACCCAGTCCAGAGCTGGCAGGAACATCCAGAGCCAAAGCAGACACATGGCCAGGCTCTGCTGTCTTCATCATCTTGGCCTGTGTGATCTTGGACTGCTTATTTAACATCTCTGAACTGCAGTTAATAAATGAGATAATACTTGGGGGGGGGGGTTGGGAATGGATGCTATAAACAGTACTTCAGATGCATTGCTGGTCATGATTTCATATTTTAAAAAAGTTGTATTGGAGTATAGTTGATTTACTATGTTATGTTAGTTTCAGGTATAAAGCATAGTGAATCAGTTATACATTTACATATATCCACTCTTTTTTTCTTCAGATTCTTTTCCCATTAAGGCCATTATAGAGTATTGAATAGAGTTCCCTGCGCTCTACAGTAGGTCCTTATTAGTTATGTATTCTGTATAAACTCGTGTGTATATGGCGTTCTCAATCTCTCAATTTATCCCTCCCCCATCTTTTCCCCTGGTAACCATAAGTTTATTTTCTACATCTGTGAGTTGATTTCTCTCTCTCTCTCTCTTTTTTTTTTTTTACCAGTTCCTGGCACAAGGCACCACAGTTGCTTACTGAGAGCTTCAACATTAGTGATAGTGGATGTAAAGCCATATTTTCAAATTGTCTTTATAGATTACTTCCGTGTTTTCTTTGTAACTCCCATCAGCTATGATTAGTTAATCATTGGTTTGACCTTAGGGCTGATCAAGAAGCCTATGAGTTGGGAATCATCTCTGCATTTTCTTGGAGTACCCTAAGCGTGGATTATTAGTGTTATCTCAGACTACTGCTTCTCTTCAGAGATGTTTTAGGTCACGTTCTTGTTTTTCATTTATGTCCTTGTAAGCTCGTGATGTGATCTGGTGTGCACATGCAGACACACTGCAGAAGAGGAACATCATGTATGGTCCCCACNTTCAGAGATGTTTTAGGTCACGTTCTTGTTTTTCATTTATGTCCTTGTAAGCTCGTGATGTGATCTGGTGTGCACATGCAGACACACTGCAGAAGAGGAACATCATGTATGGTCCCCACCAAGCCCTGCTCCACAGTCCACCCGTGACATTACTGTCTTCCCACAGGGCACCCCCACATCATGTGTGCCCCCTGACTGCCCCCCATGCAGGAGTATAATGCCCTGGGCTCAATCTGTGTACTCAATAGTAGCAACCTTAACCTTTCTCTTAGATGAAGCTGAAATCTGAGCATCTCCCCACGCCCCCGTGGGACGGTTTGCAGGCCACTGTGCCTGTGCTGTGAGGGGTGATGTCACTCTTTGTGTTGTGCGCCCCCCCAGCCGTCCGGAGAGAAGAAGCGACCGGGCCACAGTGACAGCAATGGCTTTGCCGGCCACATCAACCTCCCGGATCTGGTGCAGCAGAGCCATTCCCCCGCGGGGACCCCCACCGAGGGCCTGGGGCGCGTCTCCACCCACCCCCAGGAGATGGACGCCGGGACTGAAGTAGGTGCTGGGCAGGAGCCACAAGAGCTGTGTTCTCATTTGGAGAGTCTGAGACCCTGGTTTCCTCAAGAAGGAGGTTTTGACAAGCTCCCAGAAACCTATTTGGTTGGGTTCTGCAGACTTCCCAGGTGGCGCAATGACAAAGAATCCACCTGCCAATGCAGGAGACCCAGGTTCGATTCCTGGGTTGGGAAGATCCCCTGGAGAAGGGAATGGCTCCCCATTCCAGTATTCTTGCCTGGAGAATCTCCATAGATAGAGGAGCTTTGCAGGCTACAGACCACAGGGTCACAAACATTTGGACATGACTGAGCAACTGAGCACATGCAACTACTTATGCATACACTCAGATGAAGGCAGTGTTAGAAGCAGAGCAGTGAAAAGCTCACAGGTAGCAGCTGAACCACTACCTGTTTTTACAGATGAGAATACTGAGGCTCACAGAGGTTAAGTACCTTGCCCAAGGCATACAGCTGGTTTGTGACAGAACTGGGACCTCCTGTCTCTCCACTGGTAAAGAATCCGCCTGCAATGCTGGAGACCCTGGTTTGATTCCTGGGTCAGGAAGGTCCCCTGGAGAAGGGATAGGCTATCCACTCCAATATTCTTGGGCTCCCTTGGTGGCTCAGATGGTAAAGAATCTACTGCAATGCGGGAGACCTGGGTTCGATCCTTGGCTTGGGAAAATCCCCTGGAGGAGGGCATGGCAACCCACTCCAGTATTCTTGCCTGGAGAAACCCCATGGACAGAGGAGCCTGGCGGGCTCTAGTCCATAGGGTCACAAAGAGTCAGATATGACTGAGCAACTAAGCACGTCTCTCAGGCTAGGGATGAGAACTTCAGCCTGTAGAGATTCCAGGGCCAACAACTGAGGTTCATATTTACATTAACCTAGTCAAACTAAATTTGACTTAGATGAAACAAGGTTGAAATGATTTGTTTATGAAAAGTAGATACATCCCCAAAGTGTTCATCTTCCTAAACTCCAAATCACACAAGAAAGGGAAAAATGGGATATTATCTTTCCTCTGCAGAAAGGAGTCTGGGAAAAAAGCCAAAATAAAAACAGTCTGTTGGGCAGTGCTTATGCATGTCCTTGACCGAGCAGGTTGGATGAGGTCATGGTGCTTGGTCATGTTTCATGAATGAATAGTCCTGTGAATCACCATAGACTCTACATATATTTATAAAGCATATGCACTGCAGTTTTTGACGTCCACATGCTGTGTTTTTATAATGCACCATTTGGATTCGAAAGTTATAGAGCAGATGAACTTTTATTTGTTGCAGGGAAAAGAACACGGAGCATTCTACTAATATTACAGCTTCATGCACCGTGGACAGGTTTTTCCAATCTGAACACCTCTTTGGGTACCAAGGAGGATTCTGTGTGGTTGGACTCTGCTTAAAATTCTGCTGCTTCCCCAGCTCTAAGTGGGAGTGTTGGTACTTGCCACACCTCCTTCACAGACTTCTAAAGATTGAAGGAGAGGATGTCTGTGAAAGTGCTCTGTTTGGCAGGGGGAATCCTACCTTGTGAAGGATGAAATGGTTTTGATTCATAACGTGAAGGGGAAATCTTGAATTACACTGGGTTTTTGTGGTTTTCTCTTTATGTGTTTAGGGGTCTTGGGATACAGGTTTTATTTTTACATAAAACCTTTTTAAAAAATGAAAACTTAAAGACATTTATCCCCCCAAAAGATGCTTCTTATGTTCATGGTTGAGGTTTATATTTATATTAATTTAGGTGAAATAAGATTGAAGTGATTTGCTTATGAAAAATAAAAATAAATACATTCTCAAAGTATTCATCTTCCTAGACTCCAAAACACACAAGAAAGGGAAATCTGTTGGTGATATTGAAAGGATATGACAATAATAGACAAAATGAGGAGATGGTATTGAAACTCCTTTAGCAAAAGTCAGATGTGGAATATCGTGACGTGAAGCCTTGAAAGTTCAGTGTCTCCTGGTCTGTTTCTGATTTCATAGTCGAACAGTGCTGTCCAGGCCCTTTGGGTTATTTTTTAAGTAAGCTGTCGAGGTGCCTGCAAACCTAATATCTTCATGAGGTCCCTAGATAGAGCATATAAATATGTGTTGTTTAAGGAAACCATCATGGGAAGGAAAAGAGTCTTTATTCCCTGGAAGAAATTGCCTCTGTATTACAGATTTTAAGGCTTCTTGAGTCAACACCAGCCCACCTGCATCACCAGGCCAGCATGAAAGGCCTCAAACGGGCCAGGAGGGAGTCGAGTAGCTTGAGTGTCTAGGATGAAGTGCTGCTATGTTCACATGCTTACTTAACTCATTGCCAGTTTGTCTACTTTTCTTAAGACTACTTAGTGGGAGGTTGCTTTTACTTGGAGAGAGTGATAATTTCTCTGTCACCACAGCTATCTTACCAGATACTAAGGTGCCACATGTGGTACATAATGTCATTTGCTCACTGCAGCTCTTGCAGTCTGATAATTCACAAACTCCTACCAAGATCCAGTGGTTAGTGAGGAACCAATACCAGGAGAAGCTAGAGAGAGAACCATACCCTTTGACTTGGTGGTTAGGGTGTATACAGTTGGGTAGTTTGAAGAGTCTCTAGTAAGCTTCCCTTGTGGCTCAGCTGGTAAAGAATCCGCCTGCAATGCAGGAGACCTGGGTTCAGTCCCTGGGTTGGGAAGATCCCCTGGAGAAGGTGAAGGCTACCCACTCCAATATTCTGGCCTGGAGAATTTCGTGGACTATACAGTCGATGGGGTCACAAAGAGTTGGACACAACTGAGCGACTTTCACTTTCACTTAGTAATTTTAAAGCCCAAGCAGAGTATTGTTAGCGTTGTTGGTTGCTGTGGTATTTACCTATCTGCTCTTCTTAATCTTCTTGCTTATTGACTAGTATGGCCTGGGGAGCAGCACCAAAGCCTCCTTCACCCCCTTTGTGGACCCCAGGGTATACCAGACGTCTCCCACTGATGAAGATGAAGAGGATGAGGAATCATCAGCTGCGGGTAAGTTAGAAGTCCCCGATGTTTTAGAAACAGCTTGCTTTTCCATTCTGATATGGCCTGATTAAAAAAATTAATTTTTCATTCAGTAGTTAAGCCATTAACTGCTTAGGCCCTGTCTTAAAAGGAAGACTTTTTATTTTTTTATAGGATTCCTCAAAGTTCTGGTTTTTTTTTTTTTTTTTTTCACCTTTTCTGTTTTGATTCTGGTAGGAACCCAGAGGTATCCAGGGGCCCTGGGAAAAGCTGTTCCTCCGAGATCTCCAAACTCACCACCTATTTCTCAAAAGCAGTTTCTGGGTACAATGCTGTGCACGCAGTAGAAACTTAATAAATGCGTGTTGAGTTGTGTTGAGTTCTAGGTGTGTGCTTCCCACTGCAAAAGTCTGGCTGATTTAGAGGAGAGTCTTGCTTTCTAGAATTCTGCAACTCACTAATCATCAGACTCACCTTAGGCCAGTTTGTCGATGGATAACGTGGCATTTCAAAAAGTAAATCTTTCCGGCATATATAACAGGAGATGGGGATGGTATATTTAATTTTATGAGATGACTATTAATTCCTTCAACTGCTCAAGTAGAGTCTATAAACCTATTTTACTAATAGATAAAATCTGCTTTTATGAATGACTTGTACTTGATTCTACTAAAAAAAGTGTAAAATATTTATAGTTTCAGCATTTCTTTGCCTTTACTATAAAGCATACTAAACAAGGAAAAACCCTAGTGTTTTGAAGCCCCTTCTCCATGTCTCCATTGGTTTATATTTCAAGATGCCACTGATTTCTTTGATTCTTTTTCTCAAAGCTCTGTTTACTAGCGAACTTCTTAGGCAAGAACAGGCCAAACTAAATGAAGCAAGAAAGATTTCAGTGGTGAACGTAAACCCAACCAACATTCGGCCTCATAGCGACACACCAGAGATCAGAAAATATAAGAAGCGATTCAATTCAGAAATACTTTGTGCAGCTCTGTGGGGTAAGTTGGTGCTTGTAACATTCATTAATGGATTTCTCTGTATTACAGATTTTAAGGCTTCTTGAGTCAACACCAGCCCACCTGCATCACCAGGCCAGCATGAAAGGCCTCAAACGGGCCAGGAGGGAGTCGAGTAGCTTGAGTGTCTAGGATGAAGTGCTGCTATGTTCACATGCTTACTTAACTCATTGCCAGTTTGTCTACTTTTCTTAAGACTACTTAGTGGGAGGTTGCTTTTACTTGGAGAGAGTGATAATTTCTCTGTCACCACAGCTATCTTACCAGATACTAAGGTGCCACATGTGGTACATAATGTCATTTGCTCACTGCAGCTCTTGCAGTCTGATAATTCACGAACTCCTACCAAGATCCAGTGGTTAGTGAGGAACCAATACCAGGAGAAGCTAGAGAGAGAACCATAGCCTTTGACTTGGTGGTTAGGGTGTATACAGTTGGGTAGTTTGAAGAGTCTCTAGTAAGCTTCCCTTGTGGCTCAGCTGGTAAAGAATCCGCCTGCAATGCAGGAGACCTGGGTTCAGTCCCTGGGTTGGGAAGATCCCCTGGAGAAGGTGAAGGCTACCCACTCCAATATTCTGGCCTGGAGAATTTCGTGGACTATACAGTCAATGGGGTCGCAAAGAGTTGGACACAACTGAGCGACTTTCACTTTCACTTAGTAATTTTAAAGCCCAAGCAGAGTATTGTTAGCGTTGTTGGTTGCTGTGGTATTTACCTATCTGCTCTTCTTAATCTTCTTGCTTATTGACTAGTATGGCCTGGGGAGCAGCACCAAAGCCTCCTTCACCCCCTTTGTGGACCCCAGGGTATACCAGACGTCTCCCACTGATGAAGATGAAGAGGATGAGGAATCATCAGCTGCGGGTAAGTTAGAAGTCCCCGATGTTTTAGAAACAGCTTGCTTTTCCATTCTGATATGGCCTGATTAAAAAAATTAATTTTTCATTCAGTAGTTAAGCCATTAACTGCTTAGGCCCTGTCTTAAAAGGAAGACTTTTTATTTTTTTATAGGATTCCTCAAAGTTCTGGTTTTTTTTTTTTTTTTTTTCACCTTTTCTGTTTTGATTCTGGTAGGAACCCAGAGGTATCCAGGGGCCCTGGGAAAAGCTGTTCCTCCGAGATCTCCAAACTCACCACCTATTTCTCAAAAGCAGTTTCTGGGTACAATGCTGTGCACGCAGTAGAAACTTAATAAATGCGTGTTGAGTTGTGTTGAGTTCTAGGTGTGTGCTTCCCACTGCAAAAGTCTGGCTGATTTAGAGGAGAGTCTTGCTTTCTAGAATTCTGCAACTCACTAATCATCAGACTCACCTTAGGCCAGTTTGTCGATGGATAACGTGGCATTTCAAAAAGTAAATCTTTCCGGCATATATAACAGGAGATGGGGATGGTATATTTAATTTTATGAGATGACTATTAATTCCTTCAACTGCTCAAGTAGAGTCTATAAACCTATTTTACTAATAGATAAAATCTGCTTTTATGAATGACTTGTACTTGATTCTACTAAAAAAAGTGTAAAATATTTATAGTTTCAGCATTTCTTTGCCTTTACTATAAAGCATACTAAACAAGGAAAAACCCTAGTGTTTTGAAGCCCCTTCTCCATGTCTCCATTGGTTTATATTTCAAGATGCCACTGATTTCTTTGATTCTTTTTCTCAAAGCTCTGTTTACTAGCGAACTTCTTAGGCAAGAACAGGCCAAACTAAATGAAGCAAGAAAGATTTCAGTGGTGAACGTAAACCCAACCAACATTCGGCCTCATAGCGACACACCAGAGATCAGAAAATATAAGAAGCGATTCAATTCAGAAATACTTTGTGCAGCTCTGTGGGGTAAGTTGGTGCTTGTAACATTCATTAATGGATTAAAGAGAAATCTTACCATCAGAGGAGTGTTGATTCAATCTTACCAAGTTAGAGACCTGACTTGGAACTATCTTGGCCTCAGGAAAGATCAAGAGCAATTTTATATTTAGGAAGAACTGATACACTCAGGATAACAGAAGGAGATCCAAAATGATCTTGTCGCCCAACAGAGATGGGCTTAAACCAACAACAGACCTAGCTCCCACTTAATACTCACCTACCGTATGCCCGGCACAGTGTGAGCATATGTGAGAGGTGAGAGAACTAGGAATCGCTGCATGAATATGAGTGGGGTGAACCTTGGCGAGGTCTCAAGGTGGGAGTCACCGAGAGAGCCAAGAAAAGTGTGGGTGTCACAGGAAAGGAATGAAGGCAGATTGTGCTGGCACCCCAGCCATGCCTCAGGCTCCTCTCCAGAACACTATTCTAGGAGGTAGAGCAGCTTCATGTAATGAATGCTGCTACCACTTTATAAAAGAACACTAATTTCATTGTTAGAGCAACAGTGATTTAATTACTGTCTCAGAGCTTCTACTTCTACACTCCCTACTGTGGTATGCCTACTTGCTCACTAGTTTATATTTACAAGGTACAGCTCTTAGGCTTTGCAGGGACCCCAGACACAGGAGAGTAAAGCCTGTCAGAGTCAGTCTGGGGACCCTTCTTAAATTTGCAGGTGTAAACCTCCTGGTGGGAACCGAAAATGGCCTGATGCTTTTGGACCGAAGTGGGCAAGGCAAAGTTTATAATCTGATCAACCGGAGGCGATTTCAGCAGATGGATGTGCTCGAGGGACTGAATGTCCTCGTGACAATATCAGGTATGTTGTGAGATGACCAGATCTGCATGGGTGGGAAAGGCGATCGCCTCATTTCTGAAGGAATAGTAAGCTCTCCTCGTCCCACCAGCAAGTGGCATAGTGAATTGACAGTGCAGTGAGTGATACCACCCACATTTTCTAACTCTGGAGATTCTGACCTTCAAAGGGAAGTCTCTCAGCTCTGCCTGAAATCTGAATCAGACAGAGACATGACAGCTGTGTGCTTATGGGGCTTTATCCCTACTGGGACTCAGCAAGGATCTTTTTAAGGTGTCTGCAACTCCAATCACCACTGTCTCTTCTCAGAAGGAGAATATAAAAATGTAGGCTTCTGGGAGTGAGAACTTTTATAAGGAGAAATTTCTCTGGTCTCTTTTCTTGTAAAAACTGCTTTAGCTTATAGTTCACAGATGCTTTAGCAAGTGCTGCTGGCCCATAGGTGATTGCATCTGTGAGGAGATTTGACTGTAGGAATCATTATTGCTACACTCTGCAGCTTTCTGGTTCCCAAAAAGAGCCTTAAGAAAGATGGAGACAGGGACTTCCCTGGTGTTCCAGTGGTTCATCTTGCATTAATGGAGAACAATCTGTAAAAATACTGAATCTCTATGTGGTGCACTGAAGCCAATATAATACTGTAAATCAACTGTATTTCAATAAAAATAATACAATGAATCAATGTGGAGAAACAAATAGAAAAAAGAATTCATCTTGCAATGCAGGAAATTTAGGTTTCAATCCCTGGTCAGGGAATTAAGATCCCATATGCTGTGGAGCAACTAAGCCCATGTGCTACAACTACTGAGCCCATGTGCTACAAGTACTGAGCCCAGGTGCTATAAGTACTGAGCCCAGGTGCTGCAAGTACTGAACCCATGTGCTACAAGTACTGAGCCCATGTGCTGCAAGTACTGAGCCCATGTGCTACAACTAGAGAGTCCGTGCCCCACAACCAAAGGTCCCACATGATGCAACTAAGACCCGACGCAGCAAGTAAATCAATAAAAAATATGGAGATGATAGTGAAGGCCTTACTACTGACAGGTTAAAACTGTAACCTGAAAGACCTTATGTCTGTTGAAAGTTTTTCCTTGCAGATGGTGTTTGAAGGGGTTTGATAAATAATGCCCCTCTTGCCCCCCCCATCCCCTCCAGTATGAAACCAACTGTACCCCTGCACATTAGAACCCCCTGAGGAGATGTGAAAAATCTAGGATGTGACCCACACTAGTGGGTCAGAGTCTGGGATGTGGCCCGGGTCACAGAGGCTTTGGTAGCTCCTGACGTGTCTCCACTGTGCAGCCAAGCTTGAGAGCCAGCCTCTGTTTCTCAAAGAGACACATTGGGTTCGCCCTGGGTTGAGTCTTAAATAGGGTTTAGCTCTCACGCTATGCTTCTGTTTTGAGAAGATGCCTTCACGAGATGCCACGGTTCTGTCTGTCTTTTACCTTTCCACTGAATGCTCAGAGTTTCATCTCTTTTTATTCTCCCCAAACAAAGGTTAACCAAGTAAATTCTTCTTATGTTATCATTTAATTCACTATAGTCCTTTATTTGGGCTTTGCTAGTGGCTCAGATGGTAAAGAATCTACCTGCAGTGCAGGAGACCCAGGTTCAGTTCCTGGGTTGGAAAGATCTCCTGAAGAAGGGAATGGCAACCCACTCTAGTATCCTTGCCTGGAAAATCCCATGGACAGAGGAATCTGGCAGGCTACAGTCCATGGGATTGGAAAGAGTAGGACACGACTGATGGTCTAACACAGTCCTTTATTGTGGGCAGTGAGTTCTTGATTGCTACACCCCCAAATCAAATTTACAGCCATACATCTGCCAGACACCTACCAAAAGGGGAAATGATATCAGAAAATTCATGTTCAAGCTTCTTTATGTGATGCATCATTTTTAAAAGTGTAACTATTCCCAGCTATCATGAAGCACATGGATAGGGAAAGAAGAAAATATGAGCCAAAGTTTCTTGAAGTGCCCTCTCATCTGGGTTGGCACAGAGAAAGAGAAAGCACCAGTCTCCTGCCCATCCTGGCTGTTGTGATCAATGCATACTCAAGGCTTATGACTGTAAAGAGGAATAATAACTGCACAGTGGTTCCCTTAATTTCAGTAATAAAGATATTCTTCTGTCAAATCCAGTGTGCAATGTTTTAATGAATTCTCCTCCTCTGTTATATATCACATCTGCAAAACGTATTTTTAACAAGACATCAAAGGAAAAGTAAGTATCCAAGAAGTGGGTAAATTTCTGATCACTTAGAAAAAGTCACCCCAAAGGACAGTTTCTTATCTGGCATTTAGATACTCTCAGATGGTTGATTAAATTTAGCTTTTGTATATGCCTCAATGTTTTTAAGGTGTTTTCTTGTCATCCTAAGAATTCTTTACTCCAGGATCACTTTGCCAACATTTCCCAAAGGGAATTGTACATTTTTGCACAAGTACACATCTTTTTCTCCATTCTTATTTCTGTTTGGTACTTCTTTCAGGGATCTCAGCACCATAAACTCTTCCAGGGTTATTTTCTGAGCCCAGATTGCCTTCACTGAACTTGTTTCTCATATCCTTATGCAATGCCTTTTTCTGTTTAGCAAAATGAAACTACGACCAGCTGTCATCTTTAAAGTAAGAGAGGAGGCGAATAAGAGGCTCTGCATTAACATATGGTGTGTTGGGTAGAAGATGAGGAAAAGGCAGTCACACCTGAGTATGCCAAAATGTCCGTCAACACTCCTTCGTGTAATTAGACCTGGAATGTTTTGGAATGCTGATCAACTGTTCTGTTACAGAATTAGGTCTTACTGAGCAGACATTGCCCTTTGCATTGGGAGGAGTGAATAAGAGTAGCTTGCTCAAATAAGAGACCACCAGGGACCCCCCTGGTGGTCCAGCGCCTAAGACTTCATGCTCCCAATGCAGGGGGCCCAGGTTCAATCCCTGGCAGGGTAACTAAATCCCACACGCCACACCTGGCAGAGCCAAATAAATTTAAATTAATTTAATAAATAAATATTTTAAAAAATGAAGTTCATGTGAAAGAAAAAAAAAGTAAAAAGTGGTTGTTGTTCTTCAGTCACTAAGTCATGTCTGACTCTTTGTGACCCCATGGACTACAGCACACTAGTCCTCTGTCCTCCACTGTCTCCTGGTGTTTGCTCAATTTCATGTCCGTTGAGTCACTGATGCTGTCTAACCATCTCATCCTCTGCTGCCCTCTTCTCCTTTTGCCTTCAGGCTTTCCCAGCATCAGGGTCTTTTCTGGTGAGTTAGCACTTCACATCAGGTGGCCAAATTATACAATGATTATTTGCCCAAAACACTTAAGCCTGCTTTAATCATAAGTTCTGGCAGATGCAATACTTTGATGATGCTGGAGACACTGGTTATTATGCCTTCACACATGCACACAAATGTAAATAAAAATAAAATGGAGATGGGGAAGGATTAAGAGAAAAAGCTGTCTCCAGACCTTGAAATTAAAGCTCTGTTATTTTAACAGGAAAGAAGAATAAGTTACGAGTTTACTATCTTTCATGGTTAAGAAACAGAATACTACACAATGACCCAGAAGTAGAAAAGAAACAAGGCTGGATCACTGTGGGAGACTTGGAAGGCTGTATACATTACAAAGTTGGTAAGTCTCAAGATGTGGAATTGTTTGCTCAATCCAAATTATTCAGCTAAGTTTCATTCAGTTTTTTTCTATCAGATACTGGTGATGCATCTGTCACCAGTTTAAGACACTGCTGGAACTTTAAATATACTTGCATTATTTCCCCAAAGGTCATATTGATGAAGTTCAAAGACTGCATTCAGAATAATGTCCTAGGCTTCAGTTTGACTTCCTCCCAAAGACCCATTAAAATGACAATAAAAGAATAAAAATGCTGTCAACCCACAAGGACAAAGGGACCAGGAGAAGACAAACCAGATAACAAGAGATGTCAACAAATTGAACAAGAGTAGTTAGATGACTTGGAATAGACCTAAGTGATCAGGAAATGCTGAATTCTAAGCCTGCTCTGAGCAAAGTCATCAAAATCAACCCAGTCACTCAACAGAATCCAGAAAGGCCTAGGACCTGAGGCCCCAGGTGTATTTGAGGTGGAGGTGAGGGTGGGACTAAAAATGGGAGGATTGTTGGAAAGCTTATGAACAGCAAATCCTACAGAACTCAGTCAGGCAGCCACCCTCCCTGACTGCAGCAGAAGATGAAAGGTGGGCACAGCCAGTCTCTTGATGGGGAATAATGAATTATGAGGACACAGTAATACACACACACACCTTCTTATCCTGCTTGGCTCCCCAAATGTTGCCAGTCATGCTTATATCCCCAAGCAAGAGATTGAATGATTGCCTTTAGGTTAGCTAAATGGCCAGAAAGAAAAGATGTTCAGGTACTAATATTTGACATATTGTGAAAAGAGCATGCTATCTAACCACCTTAAAAGTGAAGCCCATCAGTTGATAAGCCCACAATAGCATACAGTGGGGAAATCCGCTAATAGGAAGGAAACTTAGAAAGAAGGGACTTTAGAGGAAACAAGGATAAAGAAGAGTGAAACCAAAAAAAAACTTTTTTTAAGAAACTATAATAACTTCAAGGAGATTAGAAATACCATTTCCATAAAAGAATAGGGTTTTAAAAAAAAGAAGATGAAAGAAGGTTGGAGAATGTCATTCAGAGAACAAGGAAAACACCTTGGAAATTAAAATATATAAGCAGGAATATAAAGTATAATAAAAGGGTTGGAAGATAAAGATGAAAAATGTCCTAGAAAGTGGGATGAAAAGAAAAAGGAGAGGATGGGTAAGAGAACAAAAAGATTCAATCCAAGTGGTTCAAAATCTACGTTACATGAGTTTTAGGAAAAAGAGAAAGTAAGAAATGGAAGGGGAAGAAGGCATCAAAGAAGAAATACAAGAAAAGTTTCTAGAATTAAGACCTCAAAAATCTCCAAATAAAAAGATTCACTGAGTACCTAGTATATGAAAATGAATGAAATACTGAAAAATGAGTGAAAAAAGACTTAACGAGAAGACACAGCACAGCAACATGAGATTTCAGTACCCAGGAAGTGAGAAGGCTCTTAAAGCTTTCAAATTACAAGTAAATAATTCCCTGGTGGTCCAGTGGTTGGGGCTCCACGCTCTCACTGCCAAAGGTCTGGTTTTGACCTCTGGTCAGGGAACTAAGATCCCACAAGCTGCACCGTGCAACCATAAATAAATAATAAGTAAATAGTTTACATATAATAGACCCAGAATTAGATGGCCTGGGACTTATAGCAATGCTGGAAGATTAGAAGACAATGGGGCGAGGCCTTCAAAGTTCTAAAGGAAACATTTTTTTCACTTAGTAATTTATAACCCATCTGTATTAGCCAGAGTTCTCCGGAGAAACAAAACCAGTTTGTGTGTGTGGAGAGAGAGAGAGAAATTAGTCCAAGCAGAGTGGGACAATGGAGGGTTCAGGAAGAGGTACTTCCAAGAAAAAAAAAATGTTACTAATAGATTACCTGCCATATTTGACTGTATTAAAGGCATTTATAACACTAACAGAAAGTTTCCATGTGCTTAGAGATAGATGCATAAGAAATAGGAAATGGAAAAAATTCGGGAAAACAAGAAAGGAGTTATAATAAGAGTATACCACATGTCTCATCTATGAACAGTAATGATTTTAGCACAAGATATTGACTAAACCAGATATTGTAACTATAAGTGTGTTGGAGACGTGAGGGAAGAAGAAATGGGTACATTTGAGAAAGAGAGAACTAGAGAGAGGAGGCGGTGATAAGAGACAAGATCCTTTCCAGGCTCCAGAGTCAGTAGCTAATATCAGATAATATCCACAACTGAAAAAAATTAAATAACATTATTAGCTAAATAACATTATTTAGCTAAATAACATTATTAGCATGTCATTGAGAAATACGGAAGTGAATTGTGGAAGAAGTAGTTGAAAGTATATTAAAGACAGAATATGGAGAGGTATGCTATAGAAAAAGAATTCAAAGAGCAAGAATTTGGTCAGTTATCCTGGGCTGATTTCTTTAGGATACAGAATACTCTGAGTGTTCAAACATTTTATAAAAGATGAAATAAAACAACTGCTGGGACTTCCCTGGTGGTCCAGCAGTTAAGAATTCACCTTCCACAGCAGTGGAGAAGCCAACATAGAGAACAGATTTATGGACACAGTGGGTGGGGCAAGAAGGAGAGGGTGACGTGTATGAAGAGAGTGACATGAAAACTTACATTACCATGTGTAAAATAGATAGATCCCAATGGGACTTTGGTGTATGATTCAAAGAACTCAAAGAGGGGCTCTGTATCAACCTAGAGGGGTGGGATGGGGAGGGAGATGGGAGGGAGGTTGAAGAGGGAGGGGTATACATATACCTATGGCTGATTCATGTTGATATTTGCAGAAAACAGCAGAATTCTGGAAGCAATTATCCTTAAATTAAAAATAAATTTTTAAAAAAGAATCCGCCTTCCAATGCAAGGGGCACAGGTCCCATCCCTGGTTAGGAAACTGAGATCCCACATACCACGCCATGTGGCCAGTAAATAATTAAAACAACTCTCTGTGTATTGTCTTAGTCTGTTCAAGATGCTGTAACAGAATATGACAGGCTCGGTGGTTTATGAACAACAGGAGTTTATTTCTCAAAGCTCTAGAGGCTGTAAAGCTCAAGATCAAAGTGCTGTCAGATTCAGTGTCTGATGAGAGCCTGCTTTCTGGATCATAGAAAGTTGTCTTTTTGTTACAACCTCACATAGTCGGAAGGGAGAGGTATCTCTCTGGCGTCTCTTGTTAAGGGCACTAGTCCCTTTTAAATTTCCAATAACTGGAATCCAAGTTTGAATAATATGCAAACGGCAGACATTATATCTCTACCCATTTGTTGGTTCTTCTCCCATCTTGCCATACCAGCTCTCAGCTGCTTACATGTGAGTGAACGTAAAAGCCAAGCAAGGAAACCTGAAGGATTTTTATACAGATTCTTCTTACTTTAAGTAATTCACATCTAGACTTGGTGGTGAGAGACAGTCCTAACAAAAGTTGTCTTTTTGTTACAACCTCACATAGTCGGAAGGGAGAGGTATCTCTCTGGGGTCTCTTGTTAAGGGCACTAGTCCCTTTTAAATTTCCAATAACTGGAATCCAAGTTTGAATAATATGCAAACGGCAGACATTATATCTCTACCCATTTGTTGGTTCTTCTCCCATCTTGCCATACCAGCTCTCAGCTGCTTACATGTGAGTGAACGTAAAAGCCAAGCAAGGAAACCTGAAGGATTTTTATACAGATTCTTCTTACTTTAAGTAATTCACATCTAGACTTGGTGGTGAGAGACAGTCCTAACAAGTTACATCTTTAGATAGAGCTTTCAGCAGGAAGCAAAAGGCCCCAGGTATTCTGCAGGCAAGTTCACTAAAGGAGTTAAATCCATACCTGTAAGAATATCCCACACCAGAGAACTGCAATGTTGGAGACCTAGGTTCAGTCCCTGGCTTGGGAAGATCCCCTGGAGAAGGGAGAGGCTATCCATTCCAGTATTCTGGCCTGGAGAATTCTGTGGACTGTGTAGTCCCTGGGAAAGCAAAGAGTTGGGCATGACTGAGCAAGTTTCACTTGCAAGAACATCCCACACCAGAGCACCGCCCTCAATCAGGGTGATATATAGTGATGTGTGTGTGCGTGCATGCCTGCTCAGTGGTGTCTGATTCTTTGTGACCCCCGTGGACTGTAGGCCACCAGGCTCCTCTGTCCATGGGATTCTCCAGGCAAGAATACTGGAGTGTATTACCATTTCCTTCTTCAGCGGATCCTCCAGACCTAGGTATCAAATCCTCATCTCTCGCATCTCCTGCATCGGCAGGTGGGTTCTTTACCACTGAGGCACCGGGAACCATTCATCAACACAGAAGCTGGAATAAATTAACAAACTTAACTCATAATGTTTCTATTACAGTTAAATATGAAAGGATCAAATTCTTGGTGATTGCCTTAAAGAATGCTGTGGAGATATATGCTTGGGCTCCTAAACCATATCATAAGTTCATGGCATTTAAGGTAAGTAGACATGTGATTACCTAACAAGGGCTTGTTTCTTTAGGTTTCCACCAGGTAACAGTGCTCTATCTTACACAGACTTGTACCAATTTTTCTATATAGAATAATTATCTTTTAAAAGTGTAGGAACTCTTGTTTGTTATTCTAAAAGTAAAGACTGGGTATTAGCAAATGTTATTAAATTAATCAAATTAAAATTCGGGTGCACCTTCCTCCTCCATTTCAGGTCTATGCACCATCACCTCTAAGTGGCTTTTAATGGGGAATGGTTACCAGGCAAAGCATTCATTGTAATATTAGACAATGAGAGTCATTACACCCCCACCTAACTCTGGTATTTCATCTGAAAAAGGCAGACCAACAGCAGCACTGTATCTCAAGTTTGAACTGAGTCTCTTAATCTTATAATCCTCTTAAGCCTTTTTGGTTTAAAGTCCCTAAAACTCACTTGATGGTCATATATCCCCACTGCTATTGGACTTCAGTGAAGTGAATACTGAATAGAGTCACATGTGGAAATGGCCTAGATTCTCTGCATCCTTCAGTTTTCATTGCTTTTTCATTTTTTATCTTGTCTAAGTCTGTACTCACCGTGGTTGGCTTGATCACTCTTGAGAATCAACAGAAGTAGTATGGGGTGATGCTGGTCCCACTGACTCCAGCTCCTGAAAGCTGACCCCCAAATGCCAGAAGGACCAGGACTTACAGGCAGTCTGATGTTTTCAGAGATACACAGCCTCCCCATAGCCCGTGTTAATTTATCTTTTGTCCATTCTTTCTCTCTGCCCACGTCTCTCTCTTTACATCTCCTTGGCTGTCACTTTGCTCCCTACCTTTACAATGCTCATCTTTCTTTGACCCTTTACGTGTTATTTCTTGCCACCTAAGCCATGTGAGGGCAGAAGCTGCCCTGAGAACATTATGAGCCCCTCTTCAGGGCTGAAGCACCCCAGTTCTGTCTTATTCTCTTAGCAGCACAAGGAGTTCATTTGTGATGAGCTCAGGAAGGTGGGTTCATCGATGGAAATGGGCACCCCTCCATAACCCCACGTTTATGGGGAAGAATTTTGGGGCTGCATTAGGTTAGTAATAACACTTGGGATGACTCCTGAAAGCTACAGTGGTGCTGCTGTTCTGCCAAAGTCTCTCTTTGCAAAAGCTTTTCAATCAAGACCCGTTCCAGTTCTGAAGTTACTGCCATCAGCTTACAAGCCAAAGTGCAGAACTGATGGCAGAATGCTTTGTTCAGCAAACCGTGGGCAGCCTGGAAGGAGGGATGAGCAAAGACAAGGACTTGAATAGGAAAAGTCTGGAGCTGGCAGGAGGTTGAGCCCTCCTATGGGACGAGGACATTTGGCTCAAAACCTCCCATACGTGAAAATGATGTTAGTAAAAAAGGAAGGAGGAGTCTGTTAAGCGGCCAAGGCACTTGTGGTTTCACAGATTCTCTCCCAGATTTCCAGGCCAGTACAGGTAGAGTGGGGTTGAAATAATGGCAGAGGAAAAAGAGGGGAGACTGAACAGTTACCTGGGGCTTAGACTCCAGAGTCTCACACACAGAACTTTGATAGATGTGGCTGGAACTCTTTGTTTTTTGTCTAGGTAAACTCAGCTAGCCAATGTAAGCCACAAGTATTGAGATGTACCACCTCAACCTTCTCTCTCTGTTGGTCAAACCCAAGCCTCAGATCTCCACATTAAGTTTAGAGAAGGTGCCCGTCTGATGGGCACTCACTCACCCAGGACAGTCAGAACCAGAGCAGGCATGATAACTCAGAACAGGCTTATTTAGCACAGAACTGGCCCCAGCTGCCCGCCTCCCCAGGCTGTCCCTAAACAAGTAATAGCCATGCATGGGCCTGGCTGTCACTCAGAAAGGAAAGGGGCCAGGGAGGTGACCGGACCTTCTTGGGGAAAAGGCCAGATATAAACAGGAAAGAACAGCAGTACCCAGGCACCATATGTTTAATATATGATAACACTGTCAAAATTGACAACTGCAAACCAACTTCTCTTCCCTGGAGGACAAGGGATAGAGCAAGGGGCACAAATGGATGCTAGACTCTTCCTCCTAGAGCCAGAATATGACTAGCTCTAAAACTGAAAGAAAGATTTCCTAGCTTTTCGATTTAAGAAAAGTCAGACGTGAACTCCCACAGGAAATAGCTAAAGGAAAAAATTTGTTAACATAATGTCTTTGCATGATGTGGACTCTCACTGGGTGATGTTTAAAGTCTTTTGCAGATCTCCAGCACAAGCCACTGCTTGTTGATCTCACGGTAGAAGAAGGTCAAAGATTAAAGGTTATTTTTGGTTCACACACTGGTTTCCATGTAATTGATGTTGATTCAGGAAACTCTTATGATATCTACATACCATCTCATGTAAGTTCCCAAAAGCAGACTTTAAAGACTCTCTGTTCGACAATCTGCGTGTAGAGATTTGTTTTTGTACATTTGTAGTGAAAGTCATGCTAACTTTTACTAATCAGTAAAGCAGATAGACTTTTAGCCTTCACCAAATAGATTATACTTTTCATACATAAAACATGTAAATTTAACCAATTTTTACAGCTGCTTGAAACTGAGTAACATGTAATAGCAATTATTTGCCATTTACTGGACATGTTGTTTCCTTGGATTTTATATTAAAATACATATGATGTTTTCATTCAAGGGCACAAATTCTATTTTTTAAACCAAGAGTATAATAAATGAGCTTCTATTTTTACTTTGGGAAGGAGATTGGTTCATTTTATGTGGAAGAAGGCCAGTGGTCCTTTTTCTGCTCTTGTTCCTCTCTTCAAGTGGAAGACAATGTCACGTGGTAAAATCAGACACCCCCAAGCACATACTCTGGCTCTAGCATGTATTCATTTTGCAATAATGGACACATTGGGCAGCCTCTTCAACCCTCAGCTTTCACATCTATAAAATGGGCTAAGAGGACCTATCACATAGAGTTATCATCGGCATTAAATGAGGTGATGCATCTAAAGAACACAGCACAGAGTCCTGCAATTTGCAGTATTAATATTACTATCCTGACACATTGCCTAAAACATGACTTTTTAAAGGAAATGCTGCCCATGGTTTCACGTAGTAGGAGAAGTGCAGTGTAAATTGTGTCTCCCATATGTAATAGTCCAAGGCTAACATACAGTAGAAACTAGTCATCAACAAAGTCTGAGATTCAGTCTGTTGCTGTTTGGTATTTTAAAGAGTTTAAAGACTTTACTCCACAGAAGCACAACAATTGAAAAAAGTTATTTTAGTGCATGGCATACGCACATCATTTGTTACCACATTGCAGCTTTTTCTCATGTGTGTGTACATGCACACAGCACTCACAACCTACGCTCTTTTATGAGGGGACCAAGCTATCCCCATGATTGTCCTCCAACCCCTCGGTCATGTCCACCCTGCACCTACTGGACGGCCATGACATTCTCCACCAGGGGGTCACAGCAATCCCATGTCTGTCTTCATGCAAGTCAGTCTACGCTTATTTGAATAGTATGCTTCTTTTTAATGAATGGTAATTAAAGATTTTTTTTCTCAACAAGCCATTAATTTGGATTATTCTTTTATTTAGTCACCCAGATAAACAATCTGTTTGGAATTTTCATAGCCTATTTTGGTCCCAACTTTTGGCCCCATATAGGCTGTTTCTAGCATATTCAACTGGTTTGCATTTTTCCTCATCTTTTTTAAAAGTAGACAGAAAACATGAGATTTTTTTCAATGTTCATGAGAATGTGCTCAAATCCCAATTTTACCACCACATGCTAGGACAGCTTTGGTCAAGTTACATAACCTGTCTGAGATGCAGTCACTTCCCCTGTGGACAGAAATACCTACTGTGTGGAGCTTTTCTAAGGCCCAGAAGTTACATACATAAAGAGCCCATGCTTGGCACAGGGCAGGTGTTCCGATGTTGTAGTTGTTGCTCTTAGGAACAGGTAAATTGGATTCTTGACTTCATCCCTAAGTTTGTATTTCCCAGGGTATCTGGCAGGTCAGTGGTTAAATTAAGCAAAGCAAAACATCAGTCTCTAGAGTGCAAATGGAAAAGAGAAATGAAAGAACTTTTTTTTTCAATTCTTAGAAGTTAATAGTTAAGATACTGTCTTATTTTGAAAAAGAATAATGCCTGGCCTTTCTTTGTCTTCTAGATTCAGGGCAATATCACTCCTCATGCCATTGTCATCTTGCCTAAGACAGATGGAATGGAAATGCTTGTTTGCTATGAGGATGAGGGGGTGTATGTAAACACCTACGGCCGGATAACTAAGGATGTGGTGCTCCAATGGGGAGAAATGCCCACGTCTGTGGGTAGGTTAACCATTCCTTATCTCCTTCAGCAGTTACACCCCCCAAATGAAACGAAAGTCAAGAAATGTGAAACAACCATTTGATTCCACAAAAAAAAAAAAAGTCTGTGAATAACACTTGTAAGACTTGCTTTGTCTGTTTATCTCAAGTCGTTTGTCATTTTTGTGGTTAAGATGTGAACAGATGCTGTGAGTTATTGCCCATCTAATGTTTTTAATGCAGTTTTGGAAATTCCTTTTGACAGCCTACATTCATTCCAATCAGATAATGGGCTGGGGCGAGAAAGCTATTGAGATCCGGTCAGTGGAAACAGGACATTTGGATGGAGTATTTATGCATAAGCGAGCTCAAAGGTTAAAGTTTCTATGTGAAAGAAATGATAAGGTAAATCCGTTTCAACATTTGCATTAGTGTTTGCATTTTAAGAGACCACCAGGTACCTGTGAAACCTTCATTTTCCTTTATACTGATTTGAATCACATCTGTGTTAAACAATCAATATTATCTTGAAATGGCATTATTTGGTTTGACTCATGTGAACCCTCAAAATATACTATTCACACATCAAAAAAAGACATGAAAACATCTAAAAATTTCTTGTAAACTCTTAGTAACTCATGTGGCCTGCAGGCCTTAAGATGACTCAGCAAATACCCCAAATTCTCCTAAGCACTTAGAAGAGTTGGCCCATCATTAATCATTTCACAGAGGGTCAACCTCATACTCCACTTTTAGACTTTTCACAGAATCACTATTGGGGCATAACCCATCACATTATATTCAACGTTAAATGTAAAACATGTGACATGTAGAAATATAAAGTTTTTTGAGAAGTGTCCCCCATTCCTTAAGGAATGCACAATCACAAACTCAACTAGTGCCATGTTCTGTGTCATTCCAGCCATGTTTCTTCTGAAGTATCATAGGGGGACTGTTTTCCAGTGAAATTGGCGGTGTTCGTCTGGCATGAACAGTCGCCCAGAAGGGTATTCTTCCCCCTTGCCCTCCCTGTAGACTCACCCAGAGTTCTCACTAGCTAAGCTATACTGTATTTGTGAATTCATCCTTTGTGACTATGGTCAATTTAGAAACGCTGTCCCCCAAATCAGCCAACGTAAACATTTATAGAAAAGACTGTGATGGGTTGAACAGACCTACGTCTCTTGGCTCTCTCCCATTCCCTGGAAGCCGGGCTGGTCTTAGTATGATTCTGGAGCTGCCAATTAATCTGACGCGGTGTGGTCTGGGTGGACAACAGCTGGAGGTGGCAAGAATGGTTTCCAGGGCCTCATCAGAATATGCCAGAAAACAGACCTGACCCCAAGTAAAATTCCAGCCCCCACCTAGTCTCTGGGAATCATAAGGCCAGGACTGATCTAGGCACGGACCCCCAAACTCTAGTGCATTGAGGACCCTTAGAAGCCTTATTGCGAGCCCTGTCCACACCCTCAGGAAGAGACTGAGACCACACCAGTGTCAGGGCCCTGAGGTTTAGAGGCAGGGCAGACAGAACCTGGAGAGCAGCAGCCCCTTCCTCCCCTGGTTGTGTTTCCGCAGGCCCTCTGTGCTTCCCCATTGTGACCCACTGACCCCACAGTAGCTTTACTAATAGATGTAGCATTAGCTGAATGACGCCCATTTCCACAAAATTTCCTAAGAAGTTGTTGGGAGAGACAGCAATGTTCTTCTAAAGAAGTTGTGGAAATGAAGTAGCAGAGACTTTACACTAGTGACAAAGTAAATGCCTTGGACCAAAGTGTGGTGTCGGCTGATTCTTAAAGGACTCGGCCAAAGCACGTAATATTCTTTTCCTAGGCAGCGGTTCATGGATGTTCGGCTCAGGCAAGCAGTACCCCAAATCTTGCTCCCTTCTCTGAGTTGTTTGATAAAATGATTTAGCAGACCCAGACCTAATGGACTGTGGTTCTCCTTATGAATGCCATGATCTCCTTCAGCCTAGGATACGCCTTCATCATCACATCAGCAGAGAAGCCAAGTGTTAGCTCTTAAAATGCCAAAGTGAATAGGCACTAAACACCTTATCCTATCTGACTAGAGCCACTTATTTTTGTTTTTATTTTAAAAATTGAAAAATGAGGCTGTGTAGTAATCAGTAGGCCCCAAATTCCCTCTTGACTTTCATTCCCAAAGTCTGCCCTCTTGTCAATAGGGGAGAGGTGAGGGGAGCCCCTGTGACTTTCCAGAAATTAACAAAGGACCTGTTGTGTTCTTGACCAGAAAGCCAGCATATTATCCTAGCAAGAAACTTCCTTATAAAAAGTGAGCACCCAAAGAGTTGTTGCAAATCAAGAGGTAGTCCCTTCTGGGTCCCTGAACGCCAACACCATGATAAGTAATAGTAACCTTATAGGAATAAAGGCAGAAATGCCTACAGAGGATACAGTGTGTTAAAAGATGCCTTAAAAACACCAGCCATTGAGTCTTAACAGCTGACACATGGCAAGGATAGGACATGTGAGAGAAAAATGGATGGACGGTTGAAGAAAAGAGGGAGAGAAACCATGCAGTTGAACTAACTTCTTTTTAATTTCAAACAGGTATTTTTTGCATCCGTGCGATCTGGAGGAAGTAGCCAAGTGTTTTTCATGACCCTCAACAGAAATTCCATGATGAACTGGTAACAGAAGAGCACTTGGCACTTATCTTCATGGCGTTATTTCTAATTTAAAAGAACATAACTCATGTGGACTTATTGCCAGTCTAGAGGCAGAATCAGAAGGCTTGGTTGAACATACTGCTTTCCCCTTTTCCTCTCCCTCCACCCATCCCGATACAGTCCATCTTTCAATGTTGCAGCCTGGTTGAGAAGGAGAGAAAAAGGTGGCAGGAATTTCCAGGAGATCCCCAAGAATGCTGCGTTGTCTATGGACAGAGATGGACCATGTGCCCTTCGGAGTTAGGGATAGAAACAAATATTGTGTGCTCTTATGATTAAGCTGTGTTACGGTGGATTTTTGAGTTTTGTTTTGTTTTTTACCTTTTTTTTTTCTTTACCCCCTTACTTTGTAAGAATGGGGAGAGAATGCATACTGAGAAAGTGTCTGTTTTTAATTCTGTCTGCCTGCTAGCTTTAAGTAAATGATATGTTGTTAAGATCTCCAACTTCAAATGGTGAGAGACAGCACAATAAATGTACCTTATCTCTTTACACTGAAGGCCATAACTACACAGTGGGGTAATTTTAGAACTCTTTTACCTTCACCAACCCAAGAGGTTGCTTTTTGATAGCAACTGCTAATGAATTTTTAAAAGAGAAGAAAAATACTAGTATTCCCCTCTTTTGGGAAATAGATTTTAAATGGCTAAACTACTAGCCTTAGACTAATAAAATCAACTACCATTTTTGTGAGTCTGGCAGGCCCTATTTTATAGGGCCCTGTACAGAACAGAGTGTGTTGCATGGGATAGTAGTGCCATTGGCTGCAGTGAATGAGGGACTCTGTATACAACGTTGCCTCAATGCTTACTGCAACAGATCAGGACAAAAGATGGGATGACAGAGGGGGTCAGATGGAAAGAGCTTCTGGAAACAAGCTAAAAATGTATATATATATATACACACACACACATTTTTTTTTTTCAAATGCACAAAACTTCCCAGCTAGGAAGTCACTCTGTTTGGGCTTCGTTAGGAGTTAAGACCTTGTTCTTTCTGGGAATTGGAGAATCGGTGACATCCAGGCTCTAGTTACTCCCAGCTTCCTCCTGAGGGTGCCACTGTCTCAAGATGAAAACTGTGACTGAAAAAATAATAATAATAAATGTTTCTGAGCTGCCTGTGTTCTCTCTGGGTTGGTGAGAGAAGGGACTAGACTACTAAGCCTGCCTGGGATCCAGCAGGCATCATTGGTTCAGATTTTATAGAACTTGAAAGCAAGGCTTTGGCCGAAATTCTGAGACCCTAATCATTTTACCTTCCTCCAAATTACCCAACATCCGGTAAACAACGTTTGTGCAGAGATATGTATGTATTTCGTTCAGGTTGACTTGTGTCCTTACAAACTCTTCCGCAGATGATTTGAACTTTTGCGTGACTGTCTGGGGTTTTTTTTCCCAAAGCTCCGAGCATGGCCGCCGTGGTATCAAGGTGTTGCAAAACAGTATCTGTGTCGCGCTTCCTGTTTTAACCTACCTCGTTTCGTTTGTTTCGTTTCGCTGTTCATCACAGCAGTGTTATCTCCAGGAGACATATAGAGAGCTCAACTGGCAATCTCAGCTGTCTTTCACATTCTTAAAACAAAACAGTAGTTGACCAAATTGTTCTTGAAAAATTGAAAAGAAAAAAAAAAATCCAACAGCAACAAAACTAACGTGGCTTGTTTCTGGAGAAAACAATTACTATAAACAGATCCAAAACCAAAAACATCTATGAGCCTACTGATTTTGCCTAAATACATGAGCAGCTGATGTACTATTAATGAGAACGAAATACACATTAGGAAAACAGCACCATTTCAATCTGGTGGCCTGGGCAAGGGGGGGACACGGAAGGGGAAATACTCTAGTTTTTGAAGTGGCTGATTCTGCCCCTCCTGTAAAGGTGGTTGTCATTTGCATTTATTTTAAGCAGGTAACACACAAATGGAATTGAGGATTATCTTCAGGCGATCACCAAGATGTCCTCATTGTGGTCCCTTTAGCGCTCAAAAGCAATGAAATCCTCCCGTTCTCATTTTTACTGCTAAGGTTCTGCTGCTGAGCAAATTCCATGCCACAAATTCAGCAATAACGTTTGAGATTGAATAGCAACTACTGTAATTGGATGCTGACATGGACAAGACACATTGATTTGGGTCTCATCCCCGCATGTGATTGCCACCAGCTCTTTATATTGCTGCTGTGGTATTTTGAACCAGAAGCTTCTTTAAATTATGTTGCAAACTGATCTTTGTTTTATGTTTTGTTTCGTTTTGATTTCTAAGTGATAAGTTCGAAACACACAGCTTTAACTGATTTTTTTATTGTGGGATTTGGGGTACAGTAAAGAAATAAAAGGGAATCATTGTGTTTAAACATAAGGTAGTTTGTGAATGTATTTTTTAAAATCTAGATTCATTGAAACAAAAAAAATCGTAAGAAAACAATATTAATGCAGTCTTGTTTACAGTCTGTACAGTGACATAACATAGAACATGAGCTTTTCTGGTGCCAAGAAAAATAAAACACAGACGTTAACCATCAAGCCATGCTTTTTATATTTTTGTACAAATATTTTACACAGAGTACAAGGCAAAACCAAATTTAAAACGGCCCCCCACAAATCTGTGCTCCTTAAAATATTTCTAAAGAATTCCTTGAAGCTTCTATCTCCAAAAATACATTTTCCTCCATAAGGACAGGCCCTAGCCCTGAAATACTGGAGGCCTAGGTCATGCAGAGTATTTCAGAATAACTGTTCTTGTGGCTCATAACAACTACCAACATTTCAGTTTGCTTTCTTTTTTTTTTTGGCAGAAACAAGGGGGTGGTTGTACTTTTCATCCCTGTTAATATCATCTTAAAAATAAAATGAGCCAGTTTTAGAGATAAAATCCCCTATAAGAAACACTAAAACTGAAACTAGATTCAAAGCTTAAAAAGTTTTTATTAAGATTTGTATGCAAAGAGAAATGGAGCCCTCCCTCCCCCAAAGTTTCACTAGATCATTTCATTCCCTGCTACTCAGTATTGATGATCATGCAGTAAAATCCACTGTGGCTGCTTACACCACCATTGTGGGCCAGCGTCTGTCAGGTGATTGTCATTGCTGGGTGCTAGTCTGGGACGTGAGCAAGGATTCCTTCATGCAGGGCGTGGTGGGAGCAGATGACCTACAAGATCCTTTAAGATGGGGAGAGTTCTCCCCATGCCAGTTACATTCAGATCGTTGTCCTGCACACAAGATAAGGGAAGATATTTTGCACTAAGTGCCACACAAAATCTAACGACTATTTAGATAGAGCTCATTTTTCTTGAAGACTTTCGCACAGAGCCTCAAGAAGACCAACAGCTATTTCAACAGTGTAGATTAAGGTACAGATGACATCCCACGAGGCCACTCAAACAGGTACTCCATTTTTCTCACGCTTTAACATTGCTTTCTAAGACATACTTCTTACATACATCACATCAAGTACACCTTTTTTAAAAGCCTCTTCATTCCTGGTTGTCAAGACCTACTAACAGTTTTCTGTCTGCTTTTGTGACTTATTGGTAAGTGGTGTCTCTGGTCCTTCCTCTGCAGTAGATTAGAAAGATGTAAAAAATTCAGGCCGGAGCCATTTGGGTTTTGTCCATTGCCCAGACAAGGAAGCAGCTGAAGTCTAACCTCACATTCCATAAGCTAAAAAAAAAAAAAAAAAATGTTTTCCCTACTAGTATGTGTCCTAGTTCCCGTCACTGTATTCTTGAAATGTTGAAGAGCTCTTTGTGTTAACAATGTGTGTTGTCTTTGAAAGTCTGCTTGAACAGGCATCACCTTCATTCATGCTGATTGCTTTAAGATACAAGATGTGCCACATTACTTTAAGAAAGAGCATGCAGTTATTGGTCAAAATTTTTTAAACTTCTGGAGGAAAATAGGAGGATATCTGCAACATGCTGATGGCAATTCTGAATGACTCTGCCATGCTCCCACGATTCTCTGTTCTAACCGTCTCAACAGTTTCTGTGAATTATTAGTCACTTTTTCGTTCATTCGTCTTAACCTTAAATCTAAACAAATCAAAAAAATAACAAACAAACCCAAAACTGACCTACCTGAGACTATATAGTTACAACATAAAATCCAGAAATCTAAATTTGATTTTATTTACCTGTTAATATTTCTCATAAATACCATTACATTTTGGCCTTGATCAGGATCGCAATATCAAAAATCTTAAAATGTTCTGTCCTTGATGAGTCTCAAAATGGATATAACCTGATCTTCTTTCAGAAGCCCCAGCAAAAAAGAAAACCTCTTGAGAATTTGCAAGTTCAAAACTGACCATTGAGGGACTTCCCTGGTGGTCTAGTGGTTGAGACTCTGCGCTTCCACTGCAAGGGGTACAGGTTCGATCTCTGGTCAGGGAACAAAGATCCCTTACCCTACATGGCACAGCTGAAAAGAAACTGATCATTTACACATGTCCACCAAACATTTTCTAGTATTTTTTTTATTTCCAAACTGTATCACTGGAATTTGGGAGATTTTTTCCATAGATACTTAGGATATTAAAAAATGTGCATAATATTAAATAGTATGAGACCATAACTCTGCTTTGAAAATTATTCTAAGGCTGTCATTCCAGAAAATGCCAGAATGCACCAAAATAAAAATCTTCATAAAAGCATTTTTAAAACAAAAATCTCTGAATAAGTTTTGAGATATTCTAAATTCACATCAAAATCTTGGACTCTGTGTCCATGATACCAAACATTTGGAGGAAGACTAGAAACTAGAAATGTCCTAAAGTTTCCAGATTTTTTGGGTTTGTATAGATATCTTCAAACAAACTCAGTTCCTTGCGTGATAGAGTTTGGTTTTGATAGTTGGTTTTTATCATGCCAAATTGGACTGCACATATGGGGCTGGAGGAAAGGTAAGTTTTCATTTCTAGCAATGGATCATTGCTCGTCCATAGCAAACATCCATGCCCCAGTTGTCTCTTCCTCGTATTTCTCCCTCTGGGGTTAGTGTTAAGGAATAGTAATTTTGTATTACGGTTTATTTAAAAACCTCAGACATCACCCTGAATCAGAATTTCAAATGTTAGGTGACAGCACAAACTAAATCTATAGCAGGGGGAAAAAAAAGGATGACAGCTTAGATGAAGTTTCAAATTGGATGTTGTGAAACTTTTTGTGCATTTCGCTGTCTTTTTTTTTTTTTTTTTTTACAATGTTAACATAACTGTAGAAATGCCAAATTTATACTATTGGAAGGGGAAACTATCATTTTGCTATGCCTAAGGGTGTTTATGCTGTTTAAATCTCCAGTTTTCTAAAGTGTTTTAAATTGTCAAAAATATGCTGAAACTGGATCATTCTCACCTGTGTGGGGGTATAAAGAAAGAAAACCTTGGCATATTTTCTCGTCTGAACCTTTTGGTTACTTTCAAGTATATTTTCCCCTGCATTTACAAAGCCTTCAGTTACTGTTGTCTAAGGTTGTTCTAAGCAGTAGTTAGAAATGATTTGGTAGGTTCTAAGCCTACCTTTCCTTGACTGTGACTGCCACACCCTGGAATATACTATTTTATGTTATCTCTATCAAAATGTGAATAAAAAACTATTGATAGTAGTAGGACGCCTACTTGTTCTTCATTACCATTCCCAAACTATTATCCCTTCTTCCTCCCGAACACTGGAATGCTTTGAAGCTCTTGCCGTTAGCCTATGAAATCTCCAGTTATCTTCAGCCACTCCCCTTCGGTGTTTCAGTATCTTGGCTCTTAGCCCCTTCTCACCGTCTCTAACACCACCCTCGATTACTTCTTGTGATTTCAGTAACCACTTAGACAACCCTCTAAATACCCTGGCTTCTCAGTTTCCTGATCTTGACCAGTTAAACTTAACGATTACCAATTACCTTACCACCTCCTAAGCTGGTAGCAGTCAATTCTCATTTGCTCTGGGTGGACCATCATCACCAAATAAAGGTAACCACCCCCAAAGTCCCCCCACCCCTGGTTCTGCATCACCAGCTTTACCCGTTCTATTGGAGAGTTTCACTACGTTCATGCTGCAATCTCTTGTGTTATAAACACCCTCAGCCCCATTATCCTTCTTAATTGCCATCTTATCTTCTCCCCTTCACACACAAGAAAACCTCAGATCAGGCTTTTATCCCCACCACAAGCAGCTCTTGCTGAGGGCACCAGTTACATTCATGATGCAGTAGCCAGGTCTCTAACTTCATGCTTCTTGATTTACCTTCAGTCTTTAACACAGGCTTAACACTCCTTCCTCCTTGAAGAAGTTCCATGGCTTGGGGACACCCCTCATGCTCTTTCACCCCTCTGGCCATTCCTTCTGGGTCTCCTTTGCTGAATTCCTAGAGTGCCCAGCACTGGATATCCTCTCTCTTAAGTGATTCCTTCCAGTCTTGGGGCTTGAAAAACCAGCTATATAGAGACAGTACTTGTATTTTTATTGCCAGCTCTAACCTCTTTTCTGAAAACCAGATTTATACATCTAACTATTTACTTGACATCTTCATTGGATGTGCAATTGACATCTCAAATTCAACATGTTTAAAACCAAACTGATTTGCACCCCACCTACCAATCTACTCCCATTACAGTATTCAGTTCAGTTCAGTCGCTCAATTGTGTCCAACTCTTATGTGACGCCATGGACTGCAGCACGCCAGGCTTCCTTGTCCATCACCAATTCCCTGAGTTTACTCAAACTCATGTCCATCGAGTCGGTGATGCCATCCAACCATCTCATCCTCTGTCATCCCCTTCTTCTCCCGCCTTCAATCTTCCCCAGCATTACAGTATTCTCTGTCCATAAATGGCAATTTTGCTCCTCCAGACCAGAAAATATTCTAGTTTGCCTTTTTCTGGCTGTGCTGGGTCTTAGCTGCTGCCCAAGGGCTTCCTCCAGTTGAGGCAAGTGGGAGCTACTTTCTGCACTAAGGTGACGTCTCTCGTTGTGGAGGATGGGCTCTAGGTATGCCAGCTCCGGTAGTTCCAACACTCGGGCTCAGTAGTTGGGCACACAGACTTGGTTGCTCCATGACATGTGGGATCTTTCCAGACCAGGGATAGAACCTGTGTGCCCCGCATTGGCAGGCAGATTCTTAACCATGAGACCACCAGGGAAGTCCAAGATGACACTTTTAAAACATCCACTATTATACAGGTTATGCCACTTTTCTGCTCAAGTGCTCAAGGTCTTCCCATCTTAGAACATCAGTGTCCTTACCGTGCTCTATAAGGCCCTCATAAATCTGACCCACACTTTGCTCCATCCCCAACCACCACTACCACTTCTCTGACTTCATCTACCTTTTCCCTAGTTCACTTGCTCAGCCACACTGCCCTCCTTGCTTTACCCAGGAAACACTCAAAGCATGTGCCTTTCTCGAGGTCTTTGCCCTGGCTGTCTCCTCTGTCTAGAAAGCCCTCCATTCATGTATCTGTACAATGTGCTCACCCCTCCCTTTGGGTCTCTGCACAAATATTCCTATCCTATCAGAGACCTATGTATGATAATTCCCAGTTCCCCATTTAGTCTCTGCTTTATTGCCTTTCATAGAGCTTAGCAACATCTAATTTGCTCACTGGCCTATCTCCTATACTTAACAAGAATGCCTGGCAAATAGTAATCAGTAAGTATTTAATGGATGAAAAAATGAATGAAAATAAATAATAACAGTTTTGGAATTCTATTAAGGTATATAAGACCATTTTCATCTCAATATCAAAACAAAAATCTGTGTCCAAATTCTATATTATAAAAGCATAGGTCTGCTTTCATGTAGAAAATGAAACACTCAATTGATTTTCTTTCCTGGGAGGCTACTGTGGATGGAAAGCACCTGGCTAATGATCATGGGTGTACTTTTTGGCTCCATGAATCATCTTAACAGGTCAAGTGTTGAAGCCCTGCAGGGCTGGAAGAGAGCTTGCCACATAGAACCTTGAGAAAATTAGTATTTCATGATTCTTCCCTTTATACAGATAATGATCCATTTTAAGCTACTGGCCTTGGAATAAGTGCAGAGCTGCTAGAAGTGGGAAGAGGATTCTGAATTTTGTTTTTTGGTCTAAATGTTTAAACATGATAACAACAGTTCTTTTTTTTTTTTTTTAACGAGAAATAAACAACATTAAAGGTATCTCCTGCCAAATGCAGCTTCAAGAACGCCTAATGGAAGCCTAATGACAGTTCGGTTTTATCATTCTTCCAAGTGACAATAGTTATGAGGCTTCCCTGGGCGACCTGTAACATCTGTATATATTCAGCTCCATTGAATATTGTTGCATGAAGTTTTGTTGTAGGAAATTGACACATGCCTTCTGATGAATCTTTGTTTCACTCAGTCTTGTAAAGGGCACACTTGTAGTTTCAATTTGTTCAACCATGTATTTTCCTGCTCACTTAATAAAAGAAATATTAAAAAAATAAAAGAAGATAATGAAGTGATATAATATAAAGCAATATAACAGTAAAAGAATTGTTTTATTTATTACTTTTCATGTCTTTTCACAAATCTGTTGAGATGCAGGATAATGTGTAATTCATGTTAAATAGCAAGGGTGATGGTCTTAATCAACCTTTTCCAGTACTAAAGCCATTTTTGGATTCCAAAAATGCTGTAGATTCTTGGAGTCCTTTACAGAGATAGAGAGTATTGGTTTCTGTTATAGATGAAGAATGTGAAACAGGTGCTAAGTAATGCCTGAGGTATCAACCATTGCAGATGGTCTAAGCATCACAAATTGCAGTTGTAAAAGACACCATAAATGACGCTAAAATAAGTTCTCAACAATTTATGTGACAATATTTTAGAGTGTTGGCTTTCTTTAAAATTGAAAAGTATCAGCTCGAATATGTGTTTTTATATTTCTGTAAGCAACTAAGTTCCTGTTCCATGACAATAACAATTTTAAAAGGGTCACCTCCAGCCAAAAAATAGTCATTTTTGATTCCAAAGTTCAAAGTTACTTTACCAGATGATGTCAGGACGACATGGACCAGTGGCATTATGGTCTGACAGAATGTTCTAGCCCTATGCCCATGCTGCAGGATCTCAGGTTATCCTGTATTACTAAACTCATTTTGTAAAAGAGATGCCAGTTAAGATTGAGGAATTTAGGACTAGGAGGCATCACTGGAGCAGAAAGAAATAGTATAGCCTTCAGGACAATCTGATGCTTTCCCCTCATCTCATCCTTCCTCCTCACTAGGACAGCCATTCATAATAGGAGGCCCATCAATCTAACAGGGCAAAGTTAACACCAGTCCAAGACAAAGGACAACAGAGTGACTTTTCCATAAAGCTCACTCAAAGACAGTCTTGTTTGCAGGTGGCGTGCTCTCGTATAATGAAGAAGATGTATTTGAGAGTCTGTTAATAATATGTATACATTCATTTCATTGAATGTTCTAGTTTGGTAAAGTTAATAATTGGCAGCCTTTTTGTTGGCCCCACAAGATTTGGGGTAGCATAGGGAACACTTTAGTTTTGTTTTTGAAATTTCCCTGCTTAGTGGAAATTTTTTTAATGCAGTAATAATTGTTCTTTGTTGTTGTTTAGTCACTAAGTCATGTCTGACTCTTTGTGACCCCATGGCCTCTAACCTGCCAGGCTCCTCTGTCCATGGGATTCCCCAGGAAGAATACTGGAGTGGGTTGTCATGCCTTCCTCCAAGGGATCTTCCTGACCCAGGGATCGAACCTGCATCTTCCGCTTGGCAGTCAAATTCTTTACCACTGACCCACCAGGGAAGCTCTAGAGAACTTATAAAAGCCCGGATAATATTTTTTTTAGTATGGAAATATACTTCCCATCTCAAAAATTGATGGGATAAATATAGAAGGGGAAGAAAGAGGGAGGAGAATCACCCAGCATCAGGCTCCAAACAGATGGCCCACCTGGTGTCCATATTTAGATTTCTGTTGCTGGCTTTATCCGGGTAGTTGGTGGTTAGTCTTAGGCAGAATTCAAAGCACTTCTACAGGCCAAAGTACCCGCACAGAGTGGACAAAAGCCGCTGCATCAGCTAACTGGATCGCAGTTGCCTTATAAGCCTGAGTTTCTCAATCATTTTAAATACGATGACTTCCCATCATAACCACCTAAGAAGCTGAAAAGCACAAAAAGTTCAGTAATGCTTCTAAATGTAACTGCATTTTATAAGCCACCTCATTTGAAAAACGTCCTTGTACGTGTGAGTCATTTAGTCTATAAACAATGCGAAGTATACACTTGGGTACTGGACCCCTTGTTATAGATCCTTTGGAAAATGTGACTGTTTGCATCTTCCCTAAAGACCTTCATTTGTTTGGCTTGCTTCTGGCTGCGTTCTGCAGCGTGCGGGATCAAACCCTGCCACTGCATTGAGCGCGTGGAGTCTTAACTACTGGTCCACCAGAGAAGTCCCAGAACCTTCTTTTGTATCTTGGTTGTGTTTTATGGCAGTGTTTAATGTGGATATATTAATGGTCATTGGTTCAGTTCATCTTAACAAAGCTGCCTTGTCATCTTCAAGTATCAGAGAACTAAAAAAAAAAAAATATTTTTATTTGTTGCCTGCTTATGGGCTCTGCTCTGCTCTAAGCCACTCAGTCATGTCGGACTCTTTGCAACCCCATGGACTGTAGCCCTACCAGGCTCCTCTGTCCATGGGGATTCTCCAGGAAAGAACACTGGAGTGGGGTGCCATGCCCTCCTCAACCCAGGGATCAAAGCCAGGGCTCCCACATTGCAGGCAGATTCTTTACAGACTGAGCCCCCAGGGAAGTGTATGCCATCTTATTTCTTTTAGAAGTGTTGGAGATAGCCACAATCTGACTTTTGACAAGCCACACACAAACCCACCTATGTAGAGAAAACCCAAGCAACTGGGACAGAGAAGTCTGGCAGCCTACAGTCCACAGGGTCACAAACAGTCGGACACGACTGAAGCGACTTGGCATGCATGGTACATATGATGTAGCGGGGGGCTTCCTAGGTGGCATTGCTGGTAAAGAACCCACCTGCCAATGCAGGAGACGTAAGAGACACAGGTTCTATCTGTGGGTTGGCAAGATTCCCTGGAAAACAGAATGACTACCCACTCCATTATTCTTGCCTGGAATATTCCATGGACTGAAGAGCCGGGCAGGCTACAGTCCTTGGTTTTGCAAAGAGTCGGACATGACTTAGCATACACACACATTACCTAGCAGCCCTCACGCTGGATGCTGAGGCAGAAAGCTGATGAAGAAATGATCCCTGCCTCCAAGGAGCTGCAGTCTCCTTTTGCTGAAGGGCAGGCGGGGATGGCAAGGGAAGAACACGAACAGTCAGAGACAACACCAAAAGTAGGAGAACCCAGAATTTGCCAGAGGAAGGCAGAGACTGCTCTGGGACTGAAGAGAAAGGGCCTGTGCCTGGAATGTTTATGGAAGGCTTCCAAGAAGAGGTGGCCTTCACCAGATTGTGGGACAGGAAAAAAAAGGGAGCGAGACATTCCATTGAGTGGGAGCAGCTGGAACAAAGGCAGAAAGGAATGAAGAGTATGTGGGCCCTGAAACAGGCAAAGAATTCAGCAGGACTAGATAAAGTGCTGGTGGGGCAGGAAAAACAATCACCTGCCTACTTAGATGGTGAGCATATTCTTTGCACTCCATGCACTAACATAAGCCCCAGGAGTTCAAAATCCTGATTCAGCTCTCTGCCTGGCCTCCGAAGGCAATGTTTGATGAATGAATCATACCATCAGTTAAGAACATCGTTAATTCTCTGTGTTGGTGGTGGAAACCCATGAGAATGAAACATTCTGGTCATATTATTCCCAGCAATCTTTCACTGGCAGTAAGTCCCCAAATTTCTTCATTGAACCCCAACTTTGAAGCGTGAAGCTGTCCTGGGCCCTACTTGCCTTAACTCGCCTGGTCCTAAGAATCACCCAAGCGCTTGTTACTAAGACAAGCTTCTGGAATACTCCCACCCAGCTGTGAGCAACAGTCTGTAATTTGGGCGCCCGTGGTCTTGAACAACTGTGAACAACAACATCTCATACTTTGAGAAAAGCTCCACTTCTAGAGTTTTCCTTTCTTCCCATTTGAATGATTCAGCATGTTTCCAATGTGTCTAGACACCAAACGTGTGTCCAAACAACCACCCTTTCTCACGTTGTGCAGGCATCTTGGTACCATCTTTTGATCCAAGTAGGGATTGGAGAAGACTTACCCCAAAGCTGCTATGACCAGACAAATGGGTCAGGCCACCTAGGCCACCGACCCTGCTCATCTCCCCTGCTGCTCCCCTTCATCACTGGGGCACCCTCCTCCTAACAGCCAGGAGCTTTGATGCCCACAGGGCCTGAGCCTCCTACTTGGAGACACAACACCAGCATGTGGCCTCGGCTCAGAGGCTTTGCTGAAGACACTGGACGCCTGCCTGCTCTACTACGCAGGACATTTTCTCTTGTTTTCTTGAAGTTAGTTTAATAATACCTTTTACTTTTAAAATATACCCTTTGAAAAGCACATTCTATTGCTTGTGAGTGTGTGTGTGTGTGTATGTTGCTTTAGTCTTGTCCGATTCTTTTATGATCCCGTGGACTGTAGCCCACCACGTGCCTCTGTCCTTGGGATTCTCCAGGCAAGAATACTGGAGTGGGTTGTCATGCCCTTTTCCAGGTGATCTTCCTGACCCAGGCAGATTCTTTACCTTCTGAGCCACCAGGGAAGCTACTTTTGCCTATTTGCCTGTACTTTGCTATTCTTATTTATATGACTTTGAACTTCCTTTCTTTTGTCGTGCTGACCCTCTTTCTGTCTCAGAATTTTAAACCTCCATTTATTTTTACATCCTTTTTATTGTCTCTTAGAATTGGGTTGAGATTAAAAAATTTTATTGCTACTTGCTTAATACTTGTCATTTTATGTCACTGTTGTTTAGTTGCCAAGTCCTGTCTGTCTTTTTTGATTTCTTATGGACTGTAGACTGCCAGCCTCCTCTGTTCATGGAATTCTTCAGGCAAGAATATTGGAGTAGGCAGCCATTTCCTTCTGCAAGGGATCTCCCCTACCAAAGGACAGAACCCGCATTTCCTGCATTAGCAGGCATATTCTTTACAATTGAGCCACCAGGGGAGCCCTGTCTTTTTATACTCAACTTTTAATTTCTCTTACTTAGCTATATATTTTTTGTTCTATTTAACCTCTTCCTTTTATTGGCAACTGTCTTGATCTCTGCTTCTTTGCAACCTAAAATTCTTCTTACTTTGATTTTGCTCCTTCTTTGAATATTTTTATGCTTAAATAATCTCCGTTTACCTTGTGTTATTTGCTTTCAACCCTATCCCTCTTTTTATTTACATTTTATGCTTTAATCTACACTTATAATCTTTCTTTACTCTTAATTCTTTAGTCTCTTTGTTGTTTCATTGGTCTTGCCTATTTTTTATATGTTCTAATTATTTTCCTTATACTAAAATGTATAAATTAAAATAAACCAAAATTAAAATATTTTTTCCATCGTATTTAAAAAAATTTCCCTAATTCTAATTTAGAGCTTTCTGCTTAATCCCCTCATTTTGTGAATGGAGTTGCTGAGATGCAAAGAGAAAAGACTTGCTCAAGATCTTAAGGCGGGCAGTGATGGAACCTAAACAAGTAGCTGGCTCTATTGGTGACCAGTCTGGTGCTGGAACCAAACCACTCCAATAACAATGGCTGTGCAAAGAGTACGGGTCCCCTGGTGGCTCAGATTGTAAAGAATCCACTTGCAAAGTCGGAACTTCAGGAGACTCTGGTTCAATCCCTCAGTCAGGAAGATTCCCTGGAGGAGAAAATGGCAACCCACTCCAGAATTCCTGCCTGGAGAATCCCATGGACAGAGGAGCCTGGTGGGCTGCAGTCCATGGGTCACAAAGAGTCAGACATGACTGAAGCAACTTAGCATGCACACTTGTGCAAAGAGTACCCATTTTCTTTAAAATAAAAAATCCCCCAAAAAATAAAATAAAAAATTCCAGGGACTTTCTTGGAGGTCCAGTGTTAAGACATCATGCTTCCTCTATGGGGCGGGGCGGGGTGGAGGAGGTGGGTTCGATCCCTGGTCGAGGAACTAAGATCCCACATGCCTTGTGGCACAGCCAAAAAAAATAGGAAAATACAACACAATAAAATAAAGAATGCTCATTCAAGAGCATTAGGTTTCCGAGACATTAGAGTCAAGACTGTGATTCAGTGTCACTGATCACCCTGGGAGAAGGTTTTTCTTGACCTTTCACTAAAAGAACATGTGGAAATAATGTGAAAAAGGGAAAGCCAAGAATTGACTTTATTTGTAAAATACACAGAAAAACAGGGTGTGAAGTCAGAACACAAAGTGTAAGCAGAGTGACACTAAGCAAACAGACAACTCCAAGCCTCTGTTTTCTTGTTTCTAAAATAGAATCATCTGGCCATTCCTGCCATACTCACATTTGTGTTATGTTGATCAGATCAGAGCACTGACAGAAAAGCTCTCTGTAAACTTTGGGCCTAGTTGTTCTTAAAATGCCTATAAAATTCAAGAGAAATGTTAGAGGAATACCTATATTATAAAGAACACCACTTTTACTTTTTAAATATTAGAATGTATATTGGTTTATCTAAAAAGGGAAAGAATAAGATGTTGTGCTACTCTCAATACTCCAAATCATATCCTCCCCTTCTTTTTTTCTTTTTTTACAAATCAGATTAGTTTCTGTTGACTTTTTGTTGTTTGATACACACTTTCCACCCAGTGCTCTTGGGTTTGTAGTCCTGTGTTATATGCCTGCTTCATTCCTCAAGTTCTGATGGATTTTTAAAAATGAATATAACACTACCTTAATGAAAAATATTTTATAAGAAAGTCTGTCTTTAGACTCAAATTTGATCTTGCCAATCAAGCAATGACTTCTGCAGCAAACTTGTGGTTTCTTCCCTCATCTATTTCTTACTTCTACAGTTCCACCAACGTTCCACTACAGTCTTTGTGGAAGTTGACAATGACAGGGAGAGCAAGCATTACCTTGCACATCTGGTATTCGAGACGATTTTTTTATTTCATTATCCAATAAACTTCTCAGACAGCAATCTTTCAGGGCCTTGGCGTCTGGGGTGGTTATCTCTGAGGCAGAACTGGCTCAGCAGCGGCAAATTAATGGATTAAAATGCTGAGTGAATTCTTACTGGTGAGAAATGTGGGAGTAAGAACAATGGATGAGTTAGGTCAGGTGTTACTGATGAGGACAACGGGTCAGGAACATTCTAGACCTGGAGCTGCCTCCCAGTCAGTGCTACAACCACCAAAAATGAACTGGAATAGAATTGTCACTTGGGACACTTAGGTGTGGGAGCACCTGACCATCTATTTCCCCTTTAGTGTGAAGCCATAGGCAAGAAACCCATCCCTTGCTGTGATCTTACATGTGATCTCACATGTCTTACTCGAATCTTACATGTCTTGGAAGGACAAAATTGCAAGGAACTTAGAACTTCAGTTCTAAGTTCTAACTAACTTCCCCTCTGAGACCCTCAAGTCCCTAAGTGACTCAGGGTGGCCTGGAGGGCTGCATCAGCAATGGAACAAGAAATTTCCTAGGACGACATTCTTTCCTCCCCACGTTTCGGACCCTCTTTACCCTGCACCCATCAGGGACAAAACGAAGACGACAGAGCCCCACCCACAGTGTCTGACTGCAGTCTTACCCTTGTTGGGGTAAGAGACCTGTGTTCTTGCTGTAACAAAGCAGAGCAATTTCCGCCTTCAGCTCAGCATGGGCCACCTGGGGAGACTTTGGGAAGAGAGAAGAAAGAGGAGTGACTGGAAGTGAGAAGATAGGTGGGGCACAACCTGAGGGGAGCCCCCTCTTTTGAGAGGAGGCTGGCCACCACAAAGAAGGCTCCATCCTACAGCAGTCTCGGACACCCCTAGAGGCCCGGTGGGTTGTTCCTGGGACCCTGGACACTGTGCTATCTACTACATGGAGACACGGAGGCACTGAGCTTCATTTAAATTTTTTTTTTCTCTTTTTTGGCTGTCCTGGGTCTTCCTTACGGTGCTCGGACTTTCTTTGGTCGTGGCACGCTGGGGCTTCTCGTGATGCCGAGCATTGGTTCTAGAGCAAGTGAGCTCAGCAGGTTGTGGCGCCGAGGCTCCAGAGTGCACACGCCTCTCTAGTTGCAGCATGCAGGCTTTGTTGCTCCTTGGCATGTAGGCTCTTAGCTCTCCAGCCAGGGATCAAACCAGTGTCCTCTGCACCAGAAGGCAGATTCTCAACCACTGGACCACCAAGGAAGACCCTTGAGGCTCAATTTTTGATGTACTCATTTGAAAACCACTTCCTCTTCCCACCACCCACCACAAAGTGCTTCCCCAAACCCACTTGCCCTGTTCAAAGAGGGAAAGTGATTTCAAGATGTAAAAGGAGAGAGATATTCTATTTGGATTTATTTTTCCCTGTCTTGCCACTGACGCTCCAAGTCTCTGAAGAGATGCCAGAGCCCACACTGGGTGTTTGTAAACAGTGAGGATTTTCTGAGGAGAATTACTGTTAATTGCTCAGTCTGTCCAACTCTTTGCAACCCCATGGAATGTAGCCCGCCAGGCACCTCTGTCCATGGGGGTTATCTGGCAAGAATACTGGGGTGGGTTGCCATGCCTACCTTCAGAGGATCTTCCCAACCCTGGGATCGAACCCAGGTCTTCCGCATTGCAGGCAAATTCTTTAGTGTTCAAACCACCAGGGAAGCCTTTTTTGACGAGAATGGGATTAATAAATATAGCTGAGTGTGTCTTCTCAAGTTCTACAAGACAAAAAAGCACCTGGTCAACAACTCGCCCACCACTGAGTTGCACCATCTGCGTGTTACAGTACATTCCTGGAACTCCTCTGTCTGGTAAACAGCTGTCACGAGAATCATTTCTCCCTGACACTGCTTCTTTTAGCGGTGACCTATTGGTCAAGAGCACTGAGCAACATTGTTTGCTAAACCTCAATGATGAGCTCATGATCTTCACTCCCACTTTATATATCAACCTCCCTTAGTACCCTGAAAATTAGCAGCAAATGGTACAGAAGGCAGTGAAAGAAAATAGCACAGTGTCGGAAAATGATTAACTCACAGACATTAAAGAGACACAAACTCATAAATAGAAAGATGCCCTGCAGAGTATTGTGGGCATTTAGGCACACTTGATAGAAAAATGGTTAGGAACAGGGAATTTTAATTGACTTAATTTAAACTGAGATGACTCAAGAACTGCAAACAAAAATTTTCTGCATGCAGCAGCACCATTCAATTTAGACTGAATGGCCCAGTGATTAACTAATTTGAGACAGTGCTCACTGATAAATTACCATAGATGCACATCTGTCAAAGGAATTTGTCACAGATTGTCAAATCTCCATGACATGAATGACACAAATCCACTCATTAGGTGGCCCCTTGTTCTTTTCATGAGCCTTATTGACCTCAAGGACAAATAACACAAACCCCAGGCTAAAAGAAGGAGCAGAACTCACATAGCTAGTCAACCTTGGGAGTCACAGGACCCTATACTAACTTTAGGAGAGGATGTTAGGAACAAAGAATCATGGAAACTGAGAGCAGAAAAATACTAAGAACTGACATGTACTGAGGGCTGATGATGTGCTGGGCTTTCTTCTAAGCACTGTATCCATACTATCTTATTTAACCCTCACAACAATCCCTAGAGACTGATACAATCTTCATCATTCATGTGATGAGACAGAGATTATCCAGTTTGTTCTATAGACAAAACCTAAAGAAGTTGAGCAAGACTTGCGCATAGTCAAAGGGCTAACCCTTTGGGGAGGGAAAAACCAAAGGACATCTCTTGACCCGGTCCAGTGCTCCAAACCCTTGGAAGAGGGAGGCATGAATTCATTTTACAAGGTTCACTGGGTTCAGAAAAGACATAAAGCCATTCCAGGAAGGGGAAACTTTCCATCATTTCCAGAGTAATTGATGGCCAGTAGGCTACCGGGGTCAGCCAGGCCAGGAGTAGAGACACAGCTGCTCTTCCTCTCCTCATGGTCCCTCTCAGACCAGCCGAGGCCTGGGGTGCTGGAAGGGGCCATCTGGACACCTGAGGAATTGGGCATCACTTGTCTACGGCTTCTGAGCCACACTAGGAAAGCAAACTAAGAGAAAGCTCTTTGAGGAGGACTTAAACTAAGACCTCATCCTAACATGGCAGAGAGGACAAATTTGGAGAGGAGGCAAAGTGATAGAAACAAAAGTAGGAGATTTAAAGGGGATGGTGAATTGTAAAGATACCTACCAAACTGAAAACAAAGACCTCTCTAACCAACTGTTGTGGTTGAAAGTGGTTGGCAGAGGGTCATTCCAGTTTTATCTGTAGCCTACAAAATTTTCTCAGTGACAACGGTCTCATGTATTTATATTTAATTTGCTATTAAAATGAAGTAAATATTTTTGAAAGGAGAAAAACGGATAAATGAAAGGTAAGGGCAGTGTCTAGACTTGTACAGCTATTGGATAGCTTTTCAGCTGGTACCTGAGGCACCCAGGGTGAGTCACTGAGCAGCAATTAAGGTCACTGTGTCAGTCCAAGAGGGGCTTCCCTGGTATCTCAGCAGAAGAACCCACCTGCCAATGCAGGAGATGTTAAGAGACGAGGGTTTAATCCCTGGGTCAGGAAGATCCTCTGGAGAAGAAAATGGCAACCCACCCCAGTACTCTTGCCTGGGAAATCTCATGGACAGAGAAGCCTGGCAGGCTACAGTCTGTGGGGTGGCAAAGAGTCAGACATGACTTAGTGACTGAACAACAATCTGTCCAAGAAGTCAAGATGGTCACAGCCCCAGTGACCAGGGCCACTTCCTCGTCCCTGCACCTGGGGGCCATAGGTTTGCCTTTGGGAAGGGGTCAAGAGGTCCCCCAGGGGGAGAGAGAGATTTTGAGGAATTGTCTCGTGTGGCTGTGGATGCTTGGCGAGTCCAGAATACAACGGGGGAGGCCGGCAAGCTGGGAAGTCAGGAAGGAGTTAAGAGTTTGAGTCCAAAGCCTGAAAATTCCCTCTTGCTCAAGAGACGTCAGTTTTTTGTTCTATCAGACTTTCAACGGGTTGGATGAGACCCACACACATTTTGGAAAGCAACCCACTTTATTTAGCGTCTACTGATTTTAATACAAATCTCATCCAAACCCGTCACAGAAATATCCAGAATAATGTTTAATCAAATGTCTGGGCACTGTGGCCTGCCAAGTTGAGACATCACATTAATCATCACGGCGTGTAACCTTTGAGGACCTTAAGAAGATTGCTCTGTGCTGAGACTAAGAGGGAAGGACATGGGGCAGGTTGTTTGTGCCAGTTCTGTCTGTGGCAGTCAATAAATTAGCCTATTTCCTTTATTCCTTTTCTTTCTTTTAAACTTGCCCATTACTGAGTCAATTCAATGACTAATCCATAGGTAGATTAGGAGGAACTGGTGCTTCCCTGGGGGCTCAGAGGGTAAAGAATCAATGCAGGAGGCCTGGGTTCGATCCCTGAGTCGGGAAGATCCCCTAGAGAAGGAAACGGCAACGCACTCCAGTATTCATGCCTGGAGAAGCCCATGGACAGAAGAATCTGGCGGGCTACAGTCCATAGGTTCCCTGAGTCAGACACGACTAAGGGCCTAACACACACCAAAAGGGATTAGTAGATTCTTCTGGCAAGCTCAGTGATCATCTAGCAATACTCAGACACTCTCAGATGATAAACCCAAATGCACACAGACGCCTGGGGACCTCTTGACCCCTTCCCAAAGGTGAACCTGTGACCCCCAGGTGCAGGGAAGAGGAAGTTTCCCTGGTCACTGGGGCTGTGACTCTCTCAGCTTCTTGGACAGATTACTGTTGGTCTTTAGTTGCAAAGTCAAGTCCAACTCTTTTTCAAAGTGAGTGCCCCTGCTTTCTCCTCCTAAGCACCTGTTTCATTTCTTTCATGGAAAGTAAACCCCACGTGAGAAGATACTCTTATTTTTTTCATTGCTGTAACTAGTGCCTACAAAGATATTCAGTAAATACTGCATTTATTGAATGTTAAATCGATAAATGTCCCAATGCCAGCCTGAGACTATTGCAAGAAAGTAACTCTTTTTGAACTTCTTTCATTTGTTAAACAAATATTGAGTGCCTACTATGTACCAGACACTCTCAAACCGCTGCAGATAACAAGAAGGGCAAGGTCTCCTCCACATTCATGGAACTTAAATGTGGTGAGGCAAGTGGCCCATGATAGGACTGTAGCCTATCACGCTCCTCTGTCCATGGGATTTTCCAGGCAAGAGTACTGGAGTGGGTTGCTATTTCCTTCTCCAGAGGATCTTCCCAACCCAGAGATTGAACCAGGGTCTCCTGCAATGTAGGCAGACACTTAATCATCTGAGCCACCAGGGAAGTCCAAATAATAAAATAGTAACAAATAATGAATTTAAATAACAAAATACTTTCAATATTTGATATTTTAATAATTAGATATTTTGACTAGACATTTCAATTTATTAAATGTTTAATTTTTAATCAATAATGGTAAATCAGATTTCAAGCATAGATCTATGAAGAAAATAAAGCAAAGTAACAGGCCTGAGAATGAGTTGGGGGATAGGTTGTGCCCACCTTAAGAAGCCTGCTTGGAGAGCCTCGATGAGCCCTCAAGGGAATGTAGAAGAGCCAGTCTCAGGCAAGCCTGGGGTGGAGTGCTGTAGGCAGAGCCACATCAAGTACAAAGGTGCTGAGGCTGGAACACGTTAATCAAGTCTGAGGACCGTGTGGCTAAGCCCAGAGAAGGAGAGCAGTACAAGGCTAGGTCAGCGTCAGGGAGGGCTATATCAAATCAGCCTCTCGGGCTGTGCTGACCAATGTGGGTTTCCTTCTGAGGGTGACAGGGAGGTCTTTGGAGACTTTTAAGCAAGGGGTATTACTTTCTGGCACATGAGCCATAAGAGTTGTGGGTTCGATCCTGGATCAGGAAGAGATCCCTGGAGGAGGGCATGGCAATTCACTGCAGTATTCTTGCCTAGAGAATCCCATGGACAGAGGAGTCCGTGGGGCCACAAAGAGTCAGACACCACTGAAGCCACTTAGCATGCATGCATTACTGTCTGGTTTGCTTTTTAAATCACCATTGGCTTCTCTGTCAAAAAGAGGCCGTAGGATGAGACTGGGGGCAGGGAAGCCAGGCTGGGCAGTCACATTCAGGAGAGATGCTGGTGGGATGGATCAGAGTGGGATCTGTGGAGAGGGTGAGAAGAGGCAGGCTACAACGAGGACAAACTTGACTCAGAAATCTTAAAATACACTGGCCTTCTTCAGAATCTAGGACTTCCCAATATTCTTCCCGCACTTCTGGTTTGGCCCAGTTTGAACTCATTTTATTTGGTTCCCCAGAGATGTCTTTGCACTTCTCCATACCTGATCCGATCAGAGAGGAACGCAGCATGCTAAGAGAATGAGTTGCCTTTTTTCCATTTATAGAAATAAAGTCTCATTTCACTCAAAGTAAAGATATTACAGGGTTTCCCAGGTGACTCAGCCTGTAAAGAACCCGCCTGCCACTGCAGAGAAAGCAGAAGTAGGTTCGATCTCTGGGTGGGGAAGATCCCCTGGAGAAGGCAGTGGTTACCCACTCCAGTATTCTTGCCTGGAGAATCCCCATGGACAGACGAGCCTGGCAAGCTACAGCCCATGGTGTCACAAGGAGTCAGACATGACTGAGCGACTGGGTGGGCAAAGATAATAGAGAAAAAAGGAGGGGGAAGCTCTTTCCATCCTTGGAAAACTCTCGCCAGTTAGAGCCCCGGGTGCCTACTATGAAGATTACATTAATCAAGAAGTAATCAGAATATGATTTGAAGTGTTTAAAAAGTGAATCCTAAAACAAACAAACAAAAAACCCACCACACATAGCTGGTTTTGCACTGCCCTCAGGGCATCTCTGGGTGATTCTAGGCACTGGTCCACCTCATTGGGTGGCCCCTATCCTGACAGCAAAGCGAGAAAAGGCTGACTTTATCTCACAACCAGGGAAACATGGAGATAACTCCAGGCAATCGGACCCGCTGTTCCTCAGGTGGGCGCTAGGGCAGACTTTCCTGAGAGGCTGAAATGCATTATCACTTCTCCAAGAGCTAAATACCAATGCAGTCACTGTTAACAATTCCTCCACCCTACAACTGGAGATAAAGTTTCAGCCCATCCCTAAAAGGTGCAGAGATTACTTATTCCTGAGTAAGAGCAGAACAGGAGAGGTCTGGGCTAAACCAGAGGAAACTGGTCTGGGTGGCTTAAGGTCCCGCATCCTGGGTTAACGAGTAGCAGGGCGCACGTCCAATGGAGAGAACAGCTACCCTGGGCATGCTGCGCAGCTCCAACCTAGTAAAAGTTAAAGGTTTCCTGACCTCACGCCGCACTCAAGGCCATCTCTTAAAAGGAAAACTCCAAAAACAAAGGTTGGTAAACAGAGGGGACTATCATTTTGGATGGCAGCACAGAGACTTTCTGGCAGAATGTCATGTCACTGGAAAATGATTGCTAAGGAGTCCTCTCCTGATTAAAGAAGCTCTGACAATGGTTGTGGGCATCACCAGCTGAAACTAGAGCAGAAAGCCAGGAGCCAGACTATGCACTAAGGGCAGTGTAGCTACCTGGGATCTTCAAAGTCTGATTTCAAAACTGCTCCCCAAAGCGTGGCTGTGCAACGGAGAATGCCTTCTATTATGATTGAACTGGTTAATGCGTGTAAAGTGCTGAGAGCAGCACCTGGCACTGAGCAAGAACTCATAAAGATTAACTATCTTTGCTAATAATACTCGTTCATGCCTTTTCACCAAGAAATTACTGTATTGCTGTCTATGGTTACGTTTCTCTCTCCTTATGTATTATGAGCTCTGAAGTGTCTTTTTATATCATGCATCTCAGAGCCCGGGACTGATTTGAAATGAATTATTTTTTGCATTATCTGGTAGAAGTGACAGAAATGGAAAGAGGGCAGAGAAATAAAAGACAAATGAAGTCTGAGTTTCCTTTATGTCCCCACCCTCTGTTTCTTCGTAACACCCCTCATTTAGGGGCTGTTCGTTACATGTTCTCTGTTGGACACTGGTTCCAGTTGAGCCTCAGTGGAACCAGTAACACTCTATGCTAGACACAGTTCAAGCTCAACCAAATGAGATGTCACCTGTCTCCCCACAGGGACTGGACATCGTCTACACAGAAGGGCACAACCCAAGCCCTGTGAGCAGGTTTATTTGAGACCTCTACCCTGCTGCCCCTGACAGGGACTTCCTGACATACACGGAACCAATAACAGCAATAGCAAAAACAATAGCAAACATTTGCTGAGCACTTATTATTTCATATATTACCACATTTAACCCAATCAATAAAGTGTATATTCTGTTCTTTTGTCGGGTGAAAAAACTAAGGCACAGAAAAGTCTCATGCTTAAGGTCACACCACTAGTAAAATGGTGAGATTCAAACCCAAGTTCATGACTCTCCAAATTCATTCAGGTAACCGCTCAAGCCTACGGTGACCCCTGGCCACGTGGTCTGGCTCTGAAGCACAAGGGCCGCCACACTGGTTCTCTGCAGGGCATGTGCTCCTGTGTGCCTATCTTTCTTTCCCCACAGCAGAGCGTGGCAGCCCAGCATAGCTCATTTTATACAAAAAACTCTATAAGCTTTCTTTTTCACTTGCCCCTGATTCCTGCCACACTTAGCACGTGCCTTAAATAAAACACAACCATCTCTGGTTTGTAACTTACACCAAAGAAACCCGCTCCCAGTTTCTTTCCTGGTGGAACAAAGACATTGACACCACAGGTGACAGAGGCAAAGCATTTATTGATTAGATTCTCATCAATATTCACCTCTGCCCAGGATTAAACTTGGCCTCGTGCCTCCTAGCCTGGCCCCTCCTATTCTAATGTATAACTAGTCTCAGAAAGCTAGAGAAGGACAGTCAGAAGCTGGCCACTGCATCTGCCACTCTAGACCTGGAACTAAGAGGAGGACTCCAACCCACAAAATGACAGAAGATAAGGTACAGTTGTATTATGTCCATTTGAGGACAGGAATATGGAAATCTGTTCAAATCAGTGAGCATATTGAGGATTATGTAGGAGTATATTGAAGATTTGGGGGATATTGGGTGTCGCTCCTACAGAGGAGCCCTTCTTCTCTTGGTCAATTGATAGTTAATTTGGCTGCTAAAAAATCATATTTTTTTTCAGTAATTGGAAGTTTAAGGATATTTGCTCTGTTTTCTGACTAGCCTGTGTAATGTTTTCTCGAGTGGTACTGCATAACCATATTACTGAAGGAATGTGCAAAAAAGGGCAGTTTAACCCAAATCATGAAACTGATCTGAAATCTTCAAAAATATCAATATATGAGAAGGACTGTCCTAGATTAAAGGAGACTAAAAAGGACTATTCTAGATTAAAAGAAACAAAGAAGAACTGACAGCCAAATGCAACAAGTGAGCTTAGATTGTGGAAGGAAGAAGAAAACAGCTCCAAGGGACAATATGGGGATAGAAATTGTGGGTATATTAGATAATACTTTATAACTACTACATTCTTGGATATGATAATGGTATTGTAATTATGAAGGAGAATGTCTTTTTCTTAGTGAGTACATGCTGAAGTATTTAGGAGTAAAGTGACATAAATATCTGATACTTATTTTCAAATGTTTCGCCAAAATAACACACACAGACAACCACAGTGAGAATGAAACAAAGGTAAAGGCTAACCATTGGTGAACACAGGTGAAGGTTATGGAGTGTTGACTGCACTACTCTTTCAATTTCTCTGTAGATATAATACTTTTCAAAATAAAAACTTGAAAAGAGAAAGGGTATTAGTGCTATAGTGCCCTTATAAGTGTCCCCCAACCAAATCACAATCATACAAGTAGGTAAATGGGTGTTTGAGGAGGGACCTCTGAGTTCTGATCTGGTGTAACTTACTCGGCCGAGCCTTCCTTCATGTCAGTAAGTGACCAGGCTAGGAGCACAGGCTTTGTGGTCATGATTCTGGATTGGGAGTGTGCTAATGTTGCCTACCTGCTGTGATATGGGGGTTAAGTTCTTTAACTGGCCTAGCCACCAATTGAGATTTTAAGGATATTTGCTCTGTTTTCTGACTAGTCTGTGTAATGTTTTCTCAAATGGTTTTTCTCTCTTGCAACAAATTAAAAGCACATTGGAATAGAACATAAGGCTATAGTGTGGGAGATACAGGGATTGTAATAGTTCTTTACTGTATGGGGCTTCGCTAGCGGCTCAGACAGTAAAGCGTCTGCCTGCAATGCGGGACACCTGGGTTCGTCCTGGGTTGGGACGATCCCCTGGAGAAGGAAATGGCAACCCACTCCAGTACCCTTGCCCAGAAAATCCCATGGACGGAGGAGACTAATTAGGCTACAGTCCATGGGGTCACAAAGAGTCGGACACAACTGAGTGACTTTACTTTCTTTCTTTTTACTGTATGGGAGTAATTAAATGAGATAGTATTAGAGAAACTCAGATGACAAACAGTTTACTATCAATAGCTGTGTGTGTGTATAATGTATATTTAAGGAATACTAACTAGGATTTCATGATTTCCTATTACAGTCCAGGATACGGCTAAAGTAGATAAATCTTTAAAAGCAGTATAAAGATAAATATTGAGTTAATAACTATAAAGATGATATGTAGATTTGGCAAAAAAAAATCATGAAGGTAGTGTTCAAATAATTGAAGTTTGATAGATACTGCAAAACAGAAGGTGCTTGTCCCCAGTGCCTGGCAAATAGAAGATACTCAAGTTTCATTTAAAATTATTACCTTCCCTTAGGAGCCTTAGAAATTGTGCTATAGTACTTCTCTTGAGAATTAAAGAATTGCCTAGAAAGGGAACCCAGAAAGAATGAGAACCAATGTAAAAGCACTATGTGTCACCTTTGTAAATTCACCCAGGTTGAGAGGAGTGAGCTAAGCATCAGTCTGCGGGGTAGGAGACCTGGATTCTCACTCTGGGTATAGCCAGTAACGTGTTGTATAACTTAAAGGACTTTGATTCTCCAACTGAAAAAGGAAGAGATTAGACTAGAATCCATTGCTGTTAAAGGTCCCTTGAAGCTTGAAAATTCTATAGCTTGAGAAACTCCTGGACTTTTCCAAAGTTGAGTGCAAGATTGCCTTTGACTTGATGTTTGTGGTATATGGTAGAGGAAACAGTACAAGCTTCTCCTCCCAGCCAAGTCAATCAATAGCTGCTGAAAATCTAAAAATCGTTTTGTTTAGCAGTGGGAGTTTAAGATGAGCTCTGGGTTCCCATAAAAGAGTATCTATTATTTACCAGCTATGTATGTTGGGAATACCACTTAATCTCTGAGCCCTGGTTTCCTTACCTGTAAAATGGGGATATTTTGTAGTAGTGTTGTGAAAACTATATGTTTGAAAAATTGACAGGTGATTTTTTTTTTGGCAAGAGTGATGAACAAGATGATAATGATGTGAGTAAAAATCAGTTGTTTTATAGCCCTTTTACTATTTATACGAAGACCATAGTGTGTGTCTTATTCAGTGTTTACAATAATTCTATGCATAACTGTTATACCCATTTTGGGGGCAGAGAAACTGACACGTGGGGATATTAAGGGCCTGGATGGGACTCTTATAGGTTTTCTGACTCCCAAGTTGATTTGTTTTTCCTAATGGACTCCATCTGACCTCTAAGTCACAAAATAAACACCACATTTTGTTCTATGTTAAGGTTCGGCCCACTTGCCCACATTATTTTCTTCTACATTTATCCAGCAGCATATTTTTAATTGGATATAGAGCATAGCTTTCTTTAACTTAAAATTATTAAGCTTCAAATGTCTTTCAAAAAGTGTAGGCTTAATATCTTGCTGTCTATGAAAAGGTTGAGAAAAGACTTGAATATCTTCTACCACTTTGTGATTACAGGCCTTCAGGCAAGTTCCTTACCCTTTCTATATCAGTTTTCCCATATGTAAAATGGTAGAATTCCAACCTACAAGGTTATTGAGAAAAAAGGCAAACCAGTTAGATCACAGAACCTGGACAGAGCAAGCTCCCAGCTAAGTTGTCGCTAGCTCATATGTACTTATTTGTGGGTCAGTCTCTTGGATGATAGATTGAATGAATTAGGGTTAATGGGCTAATTCAAATTTAGTAGTTTTCAGAAATTCTCCCTCTCATAAACAGAACTTTCTCTGACCAAATCTAACCACATAGAAGGTTGACTACAAATGTTACCTCTTTTTATTTGACAATGGAAAAGGAAAAGATGGGATGCAAAGAGCCAGTTCGGAATGGAGTTCAGAGAGGGAAATCAAGCCTGAAAATAAGAGATACAAAACAAAAAAAAAAAGAAAATGCAATCAAACAGTTCCAGAGACTTCGATATTTGGAATGATCACTTCAGTTGGAAATTCAAATGACCCGCTTAAAATAAATGAGATTGCTCCTTATCTGACCAAAAAATTCTCTCTCAAGGAGTTAAAGCAAAGAACTACAGGCCACAGGTGGCAGGACCAGAGCCTTCAGTAGAGAAAAGAAGCAGGAAGATCAGAGGACAAAGATTTTAAGAACATCCTACAATTTCTAAATATTTAAAACCTCTCCTGAGTGGGACGAATAAAGAAAGTAGCATCGACATAGATACACCATCATGTGTAAAATAGATGGGAGGTGGGAAGTTGCTATATAACACAGGGAACCCAGCCTGGTGGTCTGTGATGACCTAGAGGGGGGGCCGGAAGGAGGGGATGGAGGCTCAGGAGGGAGGAGATCCAGTTCCAGTTCCAGTTCAGTCGTACCCAACTCCGAGACCCCATGGACTGAAGCACGCCAGGCCTTCCTGTCCGTCACCAACTCCCGGAGTTTACTCAAACTCATGCCCATTGAGTCAGTGATGCCATCCAACCATCTCATCCTCTGTCGTCCCCTTCTCTTCCTGCCTTCAATCATTCCCAGCATCAGGGTCTTTTCAAATGAGTCAGCTGTTTGCATCAGGTGGCCAAAGTATTGGAGTTTCATCTTCAGCATCAGTCCTTGCAATGAATATTCAGGATTGATTTCCTTTAGGATGGATTGGTTGGTTCTCCGTGCTGTCCAAGGGACTCTCAAGAGTCTTCTCCAACACCAAAGAGCCAGTTCGGAATGGAGTTCAGAGAGGGAAATCAAGCCTGAAAATAAGAGATACAAAACAAAAAAAAAAGAAAATGCAATCAAACAGTTCCAGAGACTTCGATATTTGGAATGATCACTTCAGTTGGAAATTCAAATGACCCGCTTAAAATAAATGAGATTGCTCCTTATCTGACCAAAAAATTCTCTCTCAAGGAGTTAAAGCAAAGAACTACAGGCCACAGGTGGCAGGACCAGAGCCTTCAGTAGAGAAAAGAAGCAGGAAGATCAGAGGACAAAGATTTTAAGAACATCCTACAATTTCTAAATATTTAAAACCTCTCCTGAGTGGGACGAATAAAGAAAGTAGCATCGACATAGATACACCATCATGTGTAAAATAGATGGCAGGTGGGAAGTTGCTATATAACACAGGGAACCCAGCCTGGTGGTCTGTGATGACCTAGAGGGGGGGCCGGAAGGAGGGGATGGAGGCTCAGGAGGGAGGAGATCCAGTTCCAGTTCCAGTTCAGTCGTACCCAACTCCGAGACCCCATGGACTGAAGCACGCCAGGCCTTCCTGTCCGTCACCAACTCCCGGAGTTTACTCAAACTCATGCCCATTGAGTCAGTGATGCCATCCAACCATCTCATCCTCTGTCGTCCCCTTCTCTTCCTGCCTTCAATCATTCCCAGCATCAGGGTCTTTTCAAATGAGTCAGCTGTTTGCATCAGGTGGCCAAAGTATTGGAGTTTCATCTTCAGCATCAGTCCTTGCAATGAATATTCAGGATTGATTTCCTTTAGGATGGATTGGTTGGTTCTCCGTGCTGTCCAAGGGACTCTCAAGAGTCTTCTCCAACACCACAGTTCAAAAGCATCAATTCTTCAGTGCTCAGCTTTCTTTGTAGTCCAACTCTCACATCCATACATGACTACTGGAAAAACCAAAGCTTTGACTAGACGGACCTTTGTTGAACTATATATATATAATTATGGCTGATTCAAGCTGTTATACGACAGAAACCAAAACAACATTTTAAAGCAATTCTCTTACAATTAAAAAATAAATATAAAAATCTCTCTCTCCTATCTCATTCTCAGTGGTATTTTTTGTTATCCTTAGGTGGAAGAAAGTGATCTTAGGGGCAACTCTAGTATTCCTACAGCAATGACTTAGAACGATTTAATTGAGAGGTAATGAAACAGGAGTTCTATCTTTAAAAATTAACTTTTATTTTTGTCAAAGAAATGTAGGAAGAGCTAATACTGTTTTGACTGAGACTCATTTGGAGTGTCAGAGGAAGGCTGATGGGGTGTCTGTGTGCGCGCATATGCAAGCACATGCACTCAGTCATATCTACTCTTTGGAACCCTCTGGACTGTAGCCTGGGGTTTCCCAGGGTGCTAATGGTAAAGAACCCACCTGCTGATGCAAGAGACATAGGAGGTGTGGGTTCGATCCCTGGGCTGGGAAGAGCCCCTGGAGAAGGGAATACCCACTCCAGTATTCTGACCTGGAGAATCCCCATGGATGGAGGAGCCAGGCAGGTTACAGTCCATAGGGTCACAAAGAGTTGGACACAACTGAAGCAACTTAGCACACAGCATGCACAGACTGTAGCCTGCCAGGCTCCTCTGTCTGTGGAATTTTCGAGGCAACAATACTGGAGCAGGTTGCCATTTCCTCCTCCAGGGAATCTTCTTGACCCAGGGATCAAACCCTCATCTCTTGGGTCTCCTGCATCGGCAGGTGGATTCTTAACCATTGCACCACCTGGCTACAGCAGACCAAACCTGCTGCAGCCACTGCCTTCACCCCCAACTTCCACTCCTGCTCACCACTGCCATGGTCACTGGTTGTGCTCAAAATAAGAAGAAAGGAACTATATGCTCGTCTGGTAGGGATGGGAGAGCCAGCAGAGAGCAGAAGCCTCGGGTGGAGTGGGAGGGGCAGTCTCTAAGACACCGGGTGCTGGGAGACCCTGCCGCCGGAGGGACAGGGGATGTGGGGAGGAAACGGGGAGAGTATACTGTGGTCCTGGGCTTGGTGTTGGGTAGACCCTGAGGTTCTTCAGCTGAGCTATAGGGGAGCAGTTGAGTAGCCTTCGCTTGCCTTTTCAATTTTTGCCAAAACCTCACAAAGGTCTTCTGTGGGTGTGTGAGGATGGCGGGAATTTGTGTGGTGAGTGGTGGGAAAATGTACTTAGAATTGGTGGGTGTTTGGTCATTTGGCTTCAGCATCAAAATTGGCAAATTCTATGAATATGTGCACTCTTGGATTTTTTTTTTTCCAATTTAGGAAGATTAGGATCCTAGATTTTCAGATATGTTTGGCTTTTGAATGTCTGTTTCTGATTCATGAGAAATTCAAAATAACCAAGTAATTAAAAGTATAGGTTCTAGATCCAAATCATTATTCTACAACTTACTGGCTGTAAGACCTTAACCTAGTCTAGTTATCTATAAAATAGGGATACTAACGGTACTGTTGTGAGGAGTACTGTTGGCAGAATAAGGGCCTTAAAAAGATATCCATAACTTTGTCCCTGGCTGTGTCCTTTGTGAATCTGTTACCTCACACAGAAAAAAGGACTTTCCAAAGTCTTCACTGTTATGGACATTGAGATAGGGAGATTCTGCTATGAAGATGGAGGAAGGGGCACAACTAATCAAGGGATGTTGTGGCCTCCAGAGCTGCGAATGGCCCTTGCTTTACAGCCAGCACAGACTCTGGTCCTTCAACCAGAAGGAACAAAATTCTATCAACTCAAAATTTCCCCTACATCCTCCAGAGAGGAACACAGTTTGCCAACACCTTAATTGTAGTCTGGTGATACTAGTATCAGACTTCTGACCTACAAGAACTGGCTCCTCTGTCCAAGAGATTCTCCAGGCAAGAATCCTGGAGTGGGTTGCCATTTCCTCCTCCAGGGGATCTTCCCGACCCAGGGATCGAACCTGCATCTGTCTCCTGCATTGGCAGGCGGGCTCTCTACCACCAGCACCACTTGGGAAGCCCCTTGTCTTATAGGAGAGGAGATTTAATGACAAACATGAGAATGCAGGACGGTGTATGACAGAGAGCAGGTGCTCACCAGTCCTTTAGGAGAAATCATCAGCCTGCCAAGTGCAGAGCTGAGCACGGTGGGAAGAAGTGGTCTCTAGCTAGTGNGAATGCAGGACGGTGTATGACAGAGAGCAGGTGCTCACCAGTCCTTTAGGAGAAATCATCAGCCTGCCAAGTGCAGAGCTGAGCACGGTGGGAAGAAGTGGTCTCCAGCTAGTGGCTTCTGGGCCTCCTGCTTTGCTGCTTTCCTGCGTTCGGTGAGCTCCATGCCCAGCCCTCCTCGGCTGCATTTCTGGTTTGGTTCTCAAGTTCAAGTTTCTGGGTGCTACTTACAACTCTGCACATACAACATTTTCATGCTTCCAATGTCAAGATGCAAAGTAAGTGACTCCATTTGTAGAGCAGTTCTTGGAGACAATTTAGTATCGTGTCCTGTGGGGGCTTCTTTAAACATATATGCCCCGATCCCATCACTTAGGGTTTTGTGTTAACTGAAAAATCTTTCATGCTTCCCAGTACACGTTGAGTCTGACACAAGGAACCCCCCTTATCTCCTGTCTCAAAACCCTGCCTATTCGTATAAACAAGAACACAGATTCCCTTGTAGCTCAGTAAAGAATCCACCTGCAATGCAGGAGACCCCTGGAGAAAACATAGGCTACCCAATTCAGTATTCTTGAGCTTCCGGGGTGACTCAGATGGTAAAGAATTCACCTGCAATGTGGGAGACCTGGGTCAGAAAGATCCCCTGGAGGAGGGCATGGCAACCCACTCCAGTATTCTTACCTGGAAAATCCCATGGACAGAGGAGCCTGAAAGGCTATAGTCCATGGGGTTGCAGAGTTGGACACAACTGAAGTGACTTAGCATATACACATGTGTTAAAGGATGTTTGGCTCCTTCCCTAGACGGAGCTGTCCCAGACTTTTTGCCACTTTGGCAGTATAGGAGAAATGAAAGACACCCACAATCCCATGTGAATGAACCCTGCCAGGAACATAGGGGTATATGATGAATGAGTATCAAGTGGCAAGAACCAGCCCATGGAACCTGTCAGAAACCCATGCTGCAGAATGATGGACGGTGGGTAACTGAAATTGCCTGGTGTTTCCCATCCCCGTGTTTCATTCCCCACAGGTCACCGGGACCTTGGTTTTGGCTGTCTTCACTGCTGTGCTAAGTTCCTTCCAGTTTGGATATGACATTGGAGTGATCAATGCACCTCAACAGGCAAGTGAAACATACAAGTTCTCTATCTGGCAATTTCTGTCAGTGGCAGAAAGATATCAGCTCCTCATCCAGAGAGATAAAGTGTGCCCACATGGGGAACATGTGGTAATCCGGTCTTCTGTCAGGTACCACGTGCGTGGTTCCAGTGCTGATAACTTGACCTTTACTCCTCATTTAATAACTCTCATAGAAAAAGAAAGAGTAATGAATAATTCTTGATCTCTGATTCTGCTGTTTGCTGAGCTCACAGAAAACTTCAGCCAGAATATCGCGTGCCAAAAGGATTAAAAAAATAAACAAAAAAAAAAAAGGCTTAAGAGCTTATTGCAGCATACATTCAGAGCTCCTAGCCAAAAATGGATGGAAACGCCAGGGTGTTAGAAGAAACAGTGGAAGTATAGGTTTTTTTTCAGTGCAGAAACATGTACTGAGCACAAGCTCACTGTGTATCAGGCACAAACATAGGCTCTCCCCTGCTGATTCGTCCAACAACCTGGTAATGCCCATTTTTTGTCCAGATCAAAGTATTTTGGAGCCTTGGGTGGGGAGGGGGTGGAATCAGATAAAGGTAGTTAAAAGGTACAAACTTTTAACTGTAAGATAAGTTAGTATTAGGGATGTGATCGGAGAAGGCAATGGCACCCCACTCCAGTGCTCTTGCCTGGAAAATTCCATGGACGGAGGAGCCTGGTAGGCTGCAGACCATGGGGTCACTAAGAGTCGGACACGACTGAGCGACTTCACTTTCACTTTTCACTTTCATGCATTGGAGAAGAAAATGGCAACCCACTCCAGTGTTCTTGCCTGGAGAATCCCAGGGACGGGGGAGCCTGGTGGGCTGCCGTCTATGGGGTCGCATAGAGTCGGACACGATTGAAGTGACTTAGCAGCAGCAGCAGCAGCAGGGATGTGATGTTCAACATGACAAATGTAACTAAATATAATACAGCTGTATCTTCTATATGAAAGTTGTTAAGAGGGTAAATCCTAAGAGTTCTCATCATAAGAAAAAAAAAGAAAGACAAGCGAAGGAGAAAGCCTGAAGGAGCCTAACACTAGAAAGATTCTAGTCCTTCCCTCTACGTCGGTCTCCCATGTATGATCCAAAGTAAAATAATATAAACCTTTTAAATAAGTCAAGAAGTCCAACAAAGTTTGAGTTTTCTCCACATTGACTCTTTGGGTATTTTAATATTAGATAGTTTCTATCATTTTTCACTTTTACTGTGTGCATCCCTACTCTGGTTTCCAGGAAATACACAGGAGAGGGATGTCATTTGTCTCAGATCCCACAGCCTGTAAAGTGGGAGAAATCAGGACTTCATTCCCTCTGCCCTAACTCAGACCATCAGGTCATTTAGATTGGTATTGATATTGTGTTCCTCTTCTTAACACCAGTGCCAAGCACAGTGATTGATATAAACATAAAGTGTTTAGTGAATGAAGAAGAGAGAGAGAGACAGAGAGAGAGGAGAAGCTGGGGGAAGGGGTGGCATAAGGTGACAATACAAGCTTCTGTTGGGTGTTTTCGGTGAATCCATCATATTTCGTCTGCTTCTCTGAACATAGTGGACTCTAAGGAAAATATAGGAGAGACTTCAGGGTGTGAATGTGTGAAATGTGTACTTGCCAAGTCCGTCTGTTGGAAAGGGTTGCTCCTTGGACCAAAGATGCTCTCTGATTAGGCACCATATAGCATCATGAATGTGGGAGGTCTTGCCAAGGCTGAGATTTAGGGAATCACTCTAGAAGGTCGTATCTTTTTTCTGTGGCTGATAACATGTGCCAGTATAGCAGGATTCCTGAAATTTGGCATTGGTAGAACCTTTTCTCTTCTTGTGGGAGAACTTTTCAAATCCTTATTTAAACCATCCATTTCAGTGTTGGACGTAAAAATTAATCTAAGGTTCCCTTCCTCTAATCCAAGTCCTAGAGCCAGACCTGACAACAGAGGTCATCCCTCTCCGGCATCAGGATTAGTGCCCTCGCTATAGCCCCTTCCATCTGTATTTAAAGAGCTGTTTAAATACCATTATGTAAGAATTTGTTTTTTATTAGCAAAATGACACTTGGAATTATTTTATGGTATTTTTAAATCATACTTTTTATGAGTGTGAAAACTATGCACACCTGTTGCAGAAAGTTTCAGAAAGAAAAACATTAATGATTATTCATGTAGAGCAAAGTGTTGAAAACATCTGGGCTATTTCCTTTCAGCATTTCTTCTGTGTATATTATCCATATAGAGTGACCTTCCCATGAGGCAAAGGTCTGGATCAGAGTTCTTTTATCATAGAGGATGGAAGTTCTCTTCATCAGCTGACTTCACCACATAGGACTTTGCCCAGGTCTGGCAGCTAGGACAGGTGCATTCCAGATCATTGTTAGAGGTGCTCCCGGCCCACTGCTACCAAGTGGTGACCAAATCATCTGGAGGAATGACATGGAAGAGGAGCTGGAAGGATGTGACTTTCCTCAATTATACTTCTGTTTGAGTTTGCCTCTACTGAAACATGATAAAATATGGCTCTGTGAAATCTAGTTTTGAATACTCTTTATTCTGTTACCTACTGCCCTCAGTGAGAACCCACACAAGACACTTCCTTTAGGTCCCAATACCTTCTCAGGAACCTCTGAGTTGGCTTTGATCTTCAGAATTCACCAATATACTTGATTGTTTTCCTCTCTTCTCACTGGCTGCTAGGAAACTTATTAATTAGCTTATAGCTCAGCTAAAGCAAGGATAGAGCACCTGGAGTTTGAATTTTGTATACTAACTTTATTTTTGCCCTCAACTTTCTCAAACTTTTTTCTTATATCCACTTTTTTGTCTCTGTTCAAACATTTACAGTAGCCAATTTAAATTCTGCTATGCAGGGGAAACAGTGGCATGAAAATGTATCTTTTCAGCTTGCAGGATAGTTTCAATTTGGACAGATGCCAATCTTTAAAACTTGAAGAATTTTACATAAAAATACACATGTCTGGCTTCTCTTTAAAAATTAAAGGCCATGCAATGCCAGTCTCAAATTGCAGCTTCCTCCTTCAGATGGGACAAATAAATCCTACCCACTCAGTATTATATTCTCAACAGTTGTTGCTTAGTCACTGAGTCATGTCAGACTCTTTGTAACTCCATCGTCTGTAGCCCACCAGGCTCCCCTGTCCATGGGATTTCCCAGGTAAGAATACTGGAGTGGGTTGCCATTCCCTTCTCCAGGGATCTTCTTGACTCAGGATTGAACCTATGCCTCCTACATTAGCAAGCGGATTCTTTACCACTGGAGCCCATATTCTCAATACTATAGACTATATTTCAGCCCTCAAGTTGTCAAACTTCTTCTTGCCTCCTTTACTTGTTTGTTCCTGCCAGGTTCCCACTGGCACTGGAATTTGTGACCTCTGTTTTATAGGATGAGGTCAACTGTAAGCCATCCATATGCAGTAGTATGTGCATAACACACATAATTGAAATAATCCTGCTTGAACACCTAACAAGTAGTTTCAAGGAAAAACAAACCAAAAATATACAGAATGTTTGAAATATTTCAGCTATTTTTCTTTATTTTATCTCCTTAGGTAATTATAACCCACTATAGACATGTTCTGGGTGTTTCACTGGATGACCGAAAAGCTATCAACAACTATGCTCTCAACAGTACAGAGGAATTGCCCATAAGCCCAGGAGATCCAACACCAGTCTCTTGGACTGAGGAAGAGGCTATGACATCAGCTAGCCTCATCACCATGTTCTGGTCCCTGTCTGTGTCCAGCTTTGCAGTTGGTGGAATGATTGCATCGTTCTTTGGAGGGCTTCTTGGGGACAAGCTTGGAAGGTAGGCAAATTTCATAAATAAGCATACACACAGAAAAGTCACTATTAGGGGTTTCAGAATTTGTTTAGAAAGAAATCATCTTCCATTTTGTGGGATAGTTTTAGAGTTTTTTTGTCAAATCATGACCTTATGAGTTAGGTTGGTATTGGGCCAAATAAGGGCTTCCCTGGTGTCTTGGATGGTAAAGAATCTGAATGCAATGCAGGAGATCCAGGTTCGATTCCTGGGTCAGGAAGGTCCCCTGGAAAAAGAAATAGCAACTCACTGCAGTATTCTTTCGTGGAGAATTCCATGGACAGTGGAGCCTGGCAGGCTACACTCCATGGGGTCACAAAGAGTCGGAAACGACCAAGCGACTAACACTTTTACTTTCTGGACCAAATAATAGAAAAAAGCTGTTGCAGTAAACTACTTAAGTGTGAAAATATTTACAGAAAAAGTGAATTTGGAGGGTATTTCTAGATAATCACTTTGATTCTCTGAATTTATAACTTATAAAACATATTAAGAAATCACAGCCCAAGTGGTTTACTCAGCAACTCAAGAGAAGAGTCAAGCATGGAATTTTTAAATCTATTGTTGCCTTCACCAATTGCTCCATTTCTCAGACACCCAGTTTTTCCTTTTCAGATTAGAATTTGACATCCTGATCAGTCAAGCTGCAAGGTTAAGTCAATATCACCAACTCCCAGTTGCCCAATGTACTTGATAGGGGGTTTCTAGTTGCTGCTAATGCTGTCTCAAAACCCAACCACAAACGAAGCAAGTGGTATCTCCATTCCTCAACTTTCTATTTTGGATTGAAACTTCCTGTTTTGGATTAAAAACATCAGTAGAACTCCTTTACATGCAAATTTCATTTAGTCATGTGAAATACTAAAGCTCTTGGCGTTCCCTCCACTCCCATCAGCTCAGTCCAGTCGCTCAGTCATGTCCAACTGTTTGCATCCTCATGGACTGCAGCACACCAGGCTTTCCTGTCCATCACCAGTTCCCAGAGCTTGCTCAAATTCATGTCCATCGAGTTGGTGATACCATCCAGCCATTTCATCCACTGTTGTCCACTTGTTCTCCTGCCTTCAATCCTTCCCAGCATCAGGGTCTTTTCCAATGAGTCTGTTCTTCACGTCAGATGACCAAAGTATTGGAGCTTCAACTTCAGCATCAGTCTTTCCAGTGAATATTCAGAACTGATTTCCTTTAGGATTGACTGGTTTGATTTCCTAGCAGTCCAGGGGACTTTCAAGAGTCTTCTCCAACACCACAGTGCAAAAGCATCAATTCTTGGGTGCTCAGCCTTCTTTATGGTCCACCTCTCACATCCATACATGACTACTGGAAAAACCATAGCTTTGACTATATGGACCTTTGTCGGTTAAGTAACACCTCTGCTTTTTAATATGCTGTCTATTCAAAAGCATCAATTCTTCAGGGCTCAGCTTTCTTTATAGTCCAAATCTCACATCCATACATGACTACTGGAAAAACCATAGCTTTGACTATATGGACCTTTGTCGGTTAAGTAACACCTCTGCTTTTTAATATGCTGTCTAGGTTTGTCATAGCTTTTCTTCCAAGGAGCAGGCATCTTTTAATTTCATGGCTGTACTCACCATCTGCAGTTATTTGGAAGCCAAAGAAAATAAAGTCTGTCACTGTTTGCATTGTTTCCCCATCTACTTGCCATGAAATGATGGGACCCGATGCCATGATCTTAGTTTTTTTTGAATGCTGAGTTTTAAGCCAGCTTTTTCACTCTCCTCTTTCACTTTCACCAAGAGGCTCTTTAGTTCCTCTTTACTTTCTGCCATAAGGGTGTTATCTGCATATCTGAAGTTACTGATAGAGAGGAAATAAAACAGAAAATCAAAGTTATTTCTCTATGTTTATTTTCTGGTCTTTGCATCCATTTTTTTATTTATCACTTTTTTCTGATGATAAAAATATGCAAATATGGAAAAATTAGAAAATGCAAAAACTTTAAAGATCTAAATGATATAGGCAACTACCTTAGTAATATGTGTGCTCTGTCGTGTCCAACTCTTCACGACCCTATGGCCTGTAGCCCATTAGGCTCCTCTGTCCATGGGATTCTCCAGGCAAGAATAGTGAAGTGGGTTGCCATGCCCTCCTCCCCGGGATTTTCCCAACCCAGGGATTGAACCTGCATCTCTTACATCTTCTGCATTGGCATACTGGGTTACAATTCATTTAATTAATTCTGATAATTTCTTCCTATTATACTGTAGCTTTTGATAAGACTGTAAGAATTTTTCTAAAGTAATAGGTAGCATGGAAACACAAGTTTTATTCTTGTTCTTATTTGAAAGGGACTTCCCTCTACCATAAAAGAAAATGGTCAGTTCTTCAAATGTTATCAAATTACTGGTGTTTAGCTGAGCTGTTGTTTCAAATAATTTTATTTATTTTTGGCTATGCTAGGTCTTCATTGTGCCAAGGGCTGTTCTTCAGTTGTGGTGAGCAGGGGCTATTCTATAGTTGCAGTATGCGGGCTTCTTATTGCTCCTCTTGTGGAGCATCGGCTCTAGGATACGAGGGCTTCAGTAATTGCAGTGCATAGACTCAAGAGTTGTGGCTCCCAGGGTCTAGAACACAGGATCAATAGCTGTGGCTCAGGTGCTTAGCTGTTCCCAGGCATGTGGAATTCTCCCAGACCAGGGATCGAACCCATGTCTGCCGCACTGGCCAGCAGATTCTTTACCACTGAGCCACCAGGGAAGCCCCTTAGCTGAACTTTAAATCAGTATTCATAAATTATGCAGCTCATTGACTGGCTTTAGTTATTTTAAAATTTCTTAAATTATTTCAGTTTGAACCAAGGTTAAGCAGTAATTGGAAATTTTTCTAGATTGCTTATCTCTAAAATAAATAAAATTAAACAAAACTAAATTAAAATTTTAAACATGGACAGACCAATTCTTTTAGCAGTTATTGATGTTTTATACTTCTCATCACTGAAGAAAAAAATGTAAGCCCCTGTCCCTCATTTAGAGACAGGATTCTAACAATTCAGTGACTCAATCTACATTTAGTGTTCTGCTGATGAAAACAGAACAGACATCTTCTCAGGTCTTAGGATCTAGCATTGACAATGGTCATACCCCAAAACAATGTCAAATTATGATTTATCAAATTATTTATGGTGGATTAAAAGCAAGGTTTCTGCTAGTTTTCAGTAGAAAAATGAAAAATGTCCACTTCCTTGAGAACAGCCCTAAAACTAATCATTTTAACTTCAAAATTAACACAGAACAGTTGAGTCTCAGTAAAAAAACTATTTTGCTAGGAAAAGTCACTGAGAAATGACATGATTGTCCCTATTGCCAGGGTCATTGCTCCACTCGTTAAAAGTAAACAAATAAAAATGTACTATTCCATTACTGCTTTAAAAAAACCTTTGCTTATAATTGTGTTAATAGGTAACTGTGGCCACTATTTGGGTTCTCAAGGTCAAATTTTACTTAAAATTTAAGGACCAGGGTAAGGACGGGGAGACCATGATCTGGGCAATCCCCGTTACCATGAGTGAAGGACAATATACATAGTTTGTTGCCTTTGAATGTGTTCTTCCTTTTGAACCAAAAATGGAACTGACCAAAATAAAGCATTAACCTTTGGTTTCACAGTGATCAAGTCCCAGCTCTGTAATTTAATGAGCAAGTTACCCCGGTTCTCTAAGACATTTCCTTCCATCTGCTATGTGGGGGGAAAAAACACCTCATTTTGTGGCATTATTGTGAGGATTAAATGAAAATGAACATAAAAGGCTTAGTACACTGCCTGCCACAAAGTGAGCAGGCAGAAAATGTAGATGATGATAATGAAGAGGAAGAGACTTATGCTAACAGAAGCATTCAGAGCACGATTTAAAGAAATAGACATATATTTCTTTCTCCCTGATTCAACCATTTTGTGTATTTTTAGATTATTTATTCTTGGCTCTTTCTCACATCTGAGCAGAAGTTAAAATCCTTTAAGTTGTATAGAATGCTACAGCAACCACTGGTGGTAGGGAAGAGGGACTTTAGAGCAATCTGGCATCAAAAATACTTTCAGGCTATCTGTCTCTGGTATGACTTTTTCTCTTTTGTCCCCTATTAGAATATATTATCAGCTAGCTAGTAACAATTTCCTAAGGTAAATTACTGAATTTGCCCACCCTCTGTCCTTGTGTAGAGAAAAAACTTCACAGAGAAACACCCCTATGTTTGTCTACTCTGCAGTTCTGAAGCTGGTCAGCTCTAAATCACTCTATCTGCCTGCCTCTGGGTTGTTGATAATTTCCATATACTAGTTTCCCGACTGTCCTAATGAATTATTACAAACGTAGTGGCTTAAAACCACACATGTTTGTTTCCTTACAGTTCTAGAGAACCGAATTCAGTTTCATTGGCAGAAGTCAAGGTGTCAGCAGGGCCTATTCCTTCTGGAGGTTCTAAGGAAGGGTCCGTTTCCTTACCCTTCCCCAGCTTCTGGTGGCCAGCTCTGTCCTTGTCTATGGCCTCTTCCTCCATTTTCAAAGCACATCACTACAAACCTTATTTCTTTCATCTCATCACCTTCTCTTCTGCCTTCCTAATATAAGTACATCACTGGCCCAATTTTGAGATGAAGAGATTATCCAATTTAATCCTTAATCATATCTGCAAAATCCCCTTACCATATAAAGTGATATATTCCCAGGATCTGAAGATTAAGATGTTGACTATTGTGGGGTTTTATTCAGCTCATCACATGGTTTGTTGGGAAAATGAGTATGAGATTATATAGTTTTATTCTTCCAGAAAAAAACAGTCTGCTTGTTGTTTAAGATACTTGTTTAGGAAAAGCTCACCTAGTAAAGTTTGAAACACTGAAACAGAATATAACAAGATACTTATATTTCTTTATGGGACAAACATTCACATTTATTCACTTAGGTTCTTTTATTGGCTTTATCATCATTGATTGAACTTTGAAGAAGGTTTCTGTGTACATCACTTTCCCATTTAACAGGAAGAAGAGTGTCAGATACCTGCAAATGTTAATTTTTGTATGATCAATTTTGAAAATGGTGGGGTTTTTTGCTATTATCATCTTTACTATGTATTTTGCATTGGTTGACATTGATTCATAGATTCTGGAAATATGCTGGCATATAATGATAAAATAAGAATAATTATAGTTCTCTGATAAGGCTTAAAGTAAAAGCATGTTTTAATCTACTTCCAAATAATTTATACTAAAGAAAACTTAAATTTTAAAGTTCTTTCATGATCTATAGCAGCTAAAATCTTGTACCATTAAAAGAAAAAAAAAGGGTCAGTATCATATGTTACAGATACAGAATTAAATTTAGCTATCACCAGGCATTTATTCTTCAAAACAGTCAGCATGTAAAAAATTGTTAACTATTTGAAAAGGTCTCAGAAGTGTTATCTTAAAGCAAACTAGTCATCATCACAATTGAATCATCTCTATCAAAATGTGATTAGGTACATGCAATCCAAATTCTCTCATTAGAAATATTATGTATTGTTAATTCTTTAACACATAGACAAATCAAAGTAGCAATCATGGTTTAAGACTCCCCAACTAACTCTATCAACAAAATTAAAATAATCACTCTTTGGTAAAAATCTCAGCATGCTCTGAAAGCAAATCCTGTTTATCAAGTTTCGATGCTAAATTTATAATCCTTGCTTTTCAAATTTTCAGAATCAAAGCCCTGTTGGTAGCAAACATTCTTTCGTTAGTTGGAGCTCTCTTGATGGGGTTTTCGAAACTGGGACCATCTCACATTCTTATAATTTCAGGAAGAGGCATATCAGGACTCTACTGCGGTAAGTTGTGTACACACACACACGCACCCTTCCACACAAACACATATGTACACCTGAAAATTATTCTCAAGGTAGATGTGGTTACATGTAGGGAATTTTTTTAGCATAAGGTGGCATCACAAAAAGGAAAGGCAATAGCACAAAGTTTCAGTTCTGAGTGAGGGATGTTTGGGACCAGTAAGTGGAGCTGTAATGAGATGTTCTTATCCACAGCAATGACATCATTTCTAGTCATACGCTCCAAGACAAATTAGTTAGCTCTTGATTTTCTTATCCGTTAAATGAGAAGGATAATAATATCTACCTCGTGGGGACACTTGTGAGAATATGTGTAAAATGTTCAGCATAGAATCTGACTACACCTAGCTGTTGTTATTATTCCTGTTGTTCAGTAGACACTGGAAGACTGCTATGCCCAGAACCCCTAAGTCTTCACTTCTGGCCTGCCCGGCTACTGATGTCTCTGTCTCTCCTATCTGGAAAGACCTTGATGTTCTGGCCCATCTCTCAGGCCACATTCCCTTACCCTATCTGCTTCCACACTTGGCTGGTCCAAGTGTTAAAATGAAGCTGGCCATAGGGAGAGGGGCTCAGGCAGAAGCAGCTGGTAGAGGAGTTCAGAATGGAAGAAAGATGCTTTTCCCATCTAAATATCTGAATCACCATTTCTTGGAAACAGCTCTTCAATCTTCCTGAAGCAACTTAGCAGCAGAGGACGGAAGAAAGGGAGGATGGTCCATTCTCTAAAATAGTCAAATCTTTTGCTCCTCAATCCCAGTAATACCCCTTGTCCCAAATCACAGCCACTAGTAATAACCATCATGGGTGAGAGAGGGAAGGTGAGGCCACAAAGTGCTGTATGAAATATTTTTAACACTTTTACCTGAAAAAGAGGAAAGACTACAATTCTGTGCATCTTCAATGATTGGTTGAACCAAAAGTCTAGTCTTCTGCATTGCAGGCAGATTCTTTACCAGCTGAGCTACCAGGGAAGCTCAAAATAAAAGTCTAAGATTATTTAATTAAATGGCTCTTCTTGTTATTTTCAATGCTAATACAAATAACTGAAACGATAGCTTGGTCCAGGTAAAGAAGCAACTCACTTATGGGAAGAGCTTTGGATTCAGAATGCATCAATTCTGGCACTGTCTCTGTCTGGCCTTAGTTATTGAATAGAAGGCTCGGTTTGCTCCTCGGTATTAGTTCCCCCTTGCTGCTCTAATGAATTACTTCAAACTTAGTGGCTTAAGACAACACAAATTTGTTTTCTTACAGTTTTGAAGACTCAAATTCAGTTTCACTTGACTGTAAAATGCAACTAATAACGCCATGAAAAAGGTCCAAATCAAGATTCTTCTTTATTTTCTCTCTACTTTTTGAAATACAATAAGAAAAAAAATTTATAAGATATAAAAATTATTTAAAAATATAAAAAAATTATAAACTATTTTTAGTAAAATTGAAAATAAATGTTATAATTGAAAATAAATCAGTTCAGTTCAGTTCAGTAGCTCAGTCATGTCCGACTCTTTGCCACCCCATGAATTGCAGCATGCCAGGCCTCCCTGTCCATCACCAACTCGCGGAGTTGACTCAAACTCATGCCCATCGAGTCAGTGATGCCATCCAGCCATCTCATCCTCTGTTATCCCCTCCTCCTCCTGCCCCCAATCCCTCCCAGCATCAGGGTCTTTTCCAATGAGTCAACTCTTCGCATGAGGTGGCCAAAGTATTGGAGTTTCAGCTTCAGCATCAGTCCTTCCAATGAACACCCAGGACTGATCTCCTTCAGGATGGACTGGTTGGATCTCCTTACAGTCCAACGGACTCTCAAGAGTCTTCTCCAACACCACAGTTCAAAAGCATCAATCTTTCGGCACTCAGCTTTCTTCACAGTCCAACTCTCACATCCACACATGACCACTGGAAAAACCATAGCCTTGACTAGATGGACCTTTGTTGGCAAAGTAATGAAATAGTAGCAACCTATTACTAGCATAACTAAGTAACTTGTGTTCTCCAAGCACCTTCTAAAATTATATCTGATCCTATTATGAGCATTAAAATAGCTAAAAATTAATGAAAATAAATTAATAAAGATTAATAGAAAATACAATTTGGTTTCGGTTTCATAAGACTTTAGACCAGGTAGCCAAAATAGCTCAGTTAGAGAGAGCATTAGACTGAAGACTTCAGACCTGCAAGCTTATCTGCATTTTCTGTTCTTGAGGTATAATATTTGGCCTTAACAAAAATACTACAGCCCAGAATAAGACCAAACAATGTTTATTTATTTTTTTCCCCCTGCTTCTTTAAAATCAACAGACCACACAGTAGAGTTGCATGTAAAAGCAGAAATTTAGATGCTGTATCAGCCATGCAAATATTCATGGGCTATTGAGAACAATTTGAAGCATTAAAAAAATATTGAAACAATTCTCAAAAGCATCTTTTATACAAAGACCATACATTTCCATTTGATAGGCCTGCAGTATATCAAAGAGGAAGCCTCTGACAAATCTTATTTTCAGAAAATGCCAAACATTGCATTCAGTTTTGCTCATTGACTAGTCTCTGACCTTTTAATGCTCTTAGCAAATGGCTAGATTCTCCACCATTTTCAACATGACTGGTTATATCTGCATCTAGGAAAACTACAGAAGGCATAAAGGCCTAGAGCTTTGCAAAATTTTGTTTTCTTTTAAGCATCAGAGGGCTTCCCAGGTGACCCTAGAGGTAAAGAACCCACTTGTCAGTGCAGGAAACATAAGAAATGCAGGTTTGATCCCTGGCTTGGGAAGATGCCCTGGAGGAGGACATAGCAACCCGCTCCAGTATTCTTGCCTGGAGAATCCCATGGGCAGAAGAGCCTGGCAGCTACAATCCATAGGATCACAAAGAGTCAGACACAACTGAAGCGACTTAGCATGCACGCAAGAGTCATAAGTCTTTATTCAAATAAAATCTTTTCTGAAGCCCATTATTTAGACAGAATAAAGAAGCTAGGTTGCTCTGGTTGGAGTAATTGGGGGAAGAGCCCCTGAATCCCTTAACCCCTAACACCTCTCTACACACCCCGCCCCTCAACTCTTAAGTGTGACTTTGAGGCACCTCCACATTGTGGAAACTCAAGAAGGGCTTGTAGTTCTCCTGCTAACACTCTATTGCACTGTGATCATGGGTAAGTCATTTCTCACCTTTATCAAGTAAAGAGGTTGGCATAGATATGTTCTAATTTCCTTTAATCCCATGATTTTAGAGTAAGAATATTACTGCATTTTTAAGAATATTGTTAAAGCATTCTTCAGTCTCTTTTCTGAAGATAACCTAAGGCATTATGATACAAACTCAATATTAACATGAATTTTTTAACTAAATAAAGACAATGCTATGAATAATTGCCAGATGAATGACTAACCATCTCCTTCTATTTATATCTCCAACTACAATTTCATTTGGAGTCTCATCAACAAACATTCTTTGCATAAATTGTGTCTCCGGTTGGTGACAAGGGCTCTTCCTTCCAATAAACTCAGGAAGAATGCTGACTGTACTTAAACAAAGTTACTGCTGTTGATGTCATCCTGATTACACTTTAACATGTATGTTCATGTTTCACTCAGGGCTAATTTCAGGCTTGGTTCCAATGTACATTGGTGAAATTGCTCCAACCACACTCAGGGGTGCTATTGGTGCTCTTCATCAGCTGGCTGTTGTCACGGGCATCCTTATTAGTCAGGTATAAACTCCCATCCCCTCCCTCACCCATCCTCTACTTTACCCAACTTCTCTCTCCCTGACCGGCCACTCTTAGTGTAGAACAGCACAGAGGAAAAGACAGTTCCACAAGTGGTCTTGGAGGTGGCAGTACAGAGACATAGGCTTTTTTTTTGAGACATAGGCTTTTTAGCTCAAAGTTAAAATATTACTAATCCACGCCTCACTTTTCCCCTGGAAGTTGTAGTGGAGTTGGCACTGAAGGTGACCTGGTAAGCCAAGTCTTTAACTACTGGAGCTATTCCAGAATTAAATTATTCCATTTAGATTTCAAGAGAAAAAAATTTCAAAATTTTGGCTGCCTGGGTTTCCTTTTTTCTGAGCATCTTTTCTGCTCAGATTTAAAATGCAAAGGATTGCAGTAGCGGTTCTTGTTCAGTTACCTGTATTCTTTTCTTCTCTCCTGTGTTCTCAGAGGGAGTCCTCAGAACCTCAAACTTATGACTATCCAGAGGATAAACTACTTCGAAATAGGGATCACAAAACTAGTTCTGTCAGAGTAACTGCTCTATCTATGTAACCCATTCTATTTAAGTTCTGGGTAATCGTCCAAAGTTATGCATGATTTTTGCTGTTGTTTTAGATATCAAATGTGTGCTTAAAAGTTTGGTTGATTTCTACCCTAAATGTCCCATAGGAGTTAATGAAAACAAATCTAGATGAATTCTTTGTAAAACAGAGTCCCTAATTCAGTTAAGGAGAGACATACTAGTAATAGTTGCCATCTTAAGCATACTTGTGCATACTTGAATCAAAGTTGTCAGGAATTACTATCAATAGAGTAAGAATATTACTGCATTCTTAAGAATATTGTTAAAGCATTCTTCAGTCTCTTTTCTGAAGATAACCTAAGGCATTATGATACAAACTCAATATTAACATGAATTTTTTAACTAAATAAAGACAATGCTATGAATAATTGCCAGATGAATGACTAACCATCTCCTTCTATTTATATCTCCAACTACAATTTCATTTGGAGTCTCATCAACAAACATTCTTTGCATAAATTGTGTCTCCGGTTGGTGACAAGGGCTCTTCCTTCCAATAAACTCAGGAAGAATGCTGACTGTACTTAAACAAAGTTACTGCTGTTGATGTCATCCTGATTACACTTTAACATGTATGTTCATGTTTCACTCAGGGCTAATTTCAGGCTTGGTTCCAATGTACATTGGTGAAATTGCTCCAACCACACTCAGGGGTGCTATTGGTGCTCTTCATCAGCTGGCTGTTGTCACGGGCATCCTTATTAGTCAGGTATAAACTCCCATCCCCTCCCTCACCCATCCTCTACTTTACCCAACTTCTCTCTCCCTGACCGGCCACTCTTAGTGTAGAACAGCACAGAGGAAAAGACAGTTCCACAAGTGGTCTTGGAGGTGGCAGTACAGAGACATAGGCTTTTTTTTTGAGACATAGGCTTTTTAGCTCAAAGTTAAAATATTACTAATCCACGCCTCACTTTTCCCCTGGAAGTTGTAGTGGAGTTGGCACTGAAGGTGACCTGGTAAGCCAAGTCTTTAACTACTGGAGCTATTCCAGAATTAAATTATTCCATTTAGATTTCAAGAGAAAAAAATTTCAAAATTTTGGCTGCCTGGGTTTCCTTTTTTCTGAGCATCTTTTCTGCTCAGATTTAAAATGCAAAGGATTGCAGTAGCGGTTCTTGTTCAGTTACCTGTATTCTTTTCTTCTCTCCTGTGTTCTCAGAGGGAGTCCTCAGAACCTCAAACTTATGACTATCCAGAGGATAAACTACTTCGAAATAGGGATCACAAAACTAGTTCTGTCAGAGTAACTGCTCTATCTATGTAACCCATTCTATTTAAGTTCTGGGTAATCGTCCAAAGTTATGCATGATTTTTGCTGTTGTTTTAGATATCAAATGTGTGCTTAAAAGTTTGGTTGATTTCTACCCTAAATGTCCCATAGGAGTTAATGAAAACAAATCTAGATGAATTCTTTGTAAAACAGAGTCCCTAATTCAGTTAAGGAGAGACATACTAGTAATAGTTGCCATCTTAAGCATACTTGTGCATACTTGAATCAAAGTTGTCAGGAATTACTATCAAATAGCCAATGTGCTTTTTCAACAAATTGTTTCAGAAGGCAGATCCGAAGTGACATGTAGTTGCTATGCTTCCTCCCTGCCTTTTCAGATCGTTGGCCTTGACTTTATCCTGGGCAATCACGAGCTATGGCACATCCTGCTTGGTTTGTCTGCTGTGCCAGCCATTCTCCAATGTCTGCTGCTCTTCTTCTGTCCAGAAAGCCCCAGATACCTTTACATCAAGCTGGATGAGGAAGCCAAAGCAAAGAAAAGTAAGTCTATGGTGGTTTTCCTTTCTTCCTATTGTTTTGGAATTATCAGTTAATGAGAAACAGGGCACATGAATGGATGCTCGTGAAATTGGTACAAATGCTTTTCAAATGAAGTCAGTGATTGTATGTAAGAATATGCACAATCACTTAATATGACTGGTACATGTCATTTTGCAACCATAAGCATTCACACAGCCCAAATAGAAAATCCACATGCAGTGTATTGAACTCAGAGACTTCTAACAGACCTTTCCTACATTATGCTTCTATGATAATGAGCAATAAGATGAAGCCAAATGTTTTGCTTTCTTAAAAAATAAAAAGACAGGGTTTAACAAGAAAGGATTTCCAACACCCATTCTATTAGGTAATAGAATGGGTTATGAAGAACTGTAGTTCTTTCATTAGCATAACAATTGACCTGAGTTGTGTCAACCTGATCATTTTGGGCGACAGGCTTGAAAAGACTCAGAGGAAGTGATGATGTCACCAAAGACATCTCTGAGATGAGAAAAGAGAGGGAAGAAGGATCAAATGAAAAGAAGGTCTCCATAATTCAGCTCTTCACCAGTTCCAGCTACCGACAGCCTATTCTAGTGGCACTGATGCTGCATTTGGCTCAGCAATTCTCTGGAATCAATGCGGTAAGTTTAAGACCCTCCCTCACTCTTAAGAGCAAAGTGAATTAAGACAGATGAGGACAGGAGTTTAAGTTTAAATAACTAAAGGACTTGTTAAAATGCTGACATCACAATTATCTTGAATGAGCATTAATTTTATCTTGCCTTGTCTGCTTTCTAAAATTACCTTACAGTTTTTAAAAGATGTCAGTGATCAGTGGTCTGCATGTCAATTAAGATGAAGATTAAAAGGCAAGTCATAATAAATACAGAAGAGGGCAAAGGAGAATAAATATACCAAGAAGACTGAATTACCAGGGGCTTCTAGAGTTGAGTATCAAATTTAGGATTTCAGAAAATCTAGGCAGAAGGACTCATGGTTCCTGCCATCTATTTAAACGAAGTATAGCAGATAGCCTGGTGCAAAGAAGTTTCCTGCCATCCAAGAAATTTTCACTGTTTGGGAAGATAGCACACAAAATAAACAATAGAAGGAACTGATACGATATTGGTGAGTGAGGGTAATAGAAAAGACATGACTGAAAAACATACTGAGTACTAAACTAGCTAGCTCTTAGGTTTTGAAATCTTTGTATTATACAGACTAAAATTGTCTTACTGACAGTTAGCTACTAGAAGAAAAGAATTAAGCATTGGTTAAGAAATTAGATTTTAAAAACCACTTATCCCCATTCAGTGCTGTTAAAAATGTGATTTGGGCTTCTACAGTGAGTCCACTCCAGATTCACAGACACTGTGGGGGTGACTGATGGGTGGGCAGAGACCTAGAGGAAGCAAAGATAGTATTTCCCCTGAGGTGAAGCAAAAGGAGACCTGAGCCTCATTCCACATGGTGAATGCTCTGCTCTAGCCTCTATCCTCCTTTAAGGACCCTTGATGTTGATTTTTTAATCTCTTAATTCTTTATAACTTTGGGTCTCAGAGACCAAATCTTTCTGAGCTCTCTCTCAGCTCTGCTGTGTATCCAAGAGCACAACACTTAATCTCTCTGAGTGTCCCTTTTAGCTTCCATCCCAGTGCCTGGCTTAGAGGCATCCAGGAAATGTTGAACCAGAGGCTTATGGGTAGTACAGTGTACAGTGAGTAATCCATTCCTCACCAAACACAGTCTGAACAGTCCTCCTGCATCAGCCCTGTCTGCAGGACGAGGCTATAGGAAAGGAATGACAGAGGATGACACAACAAAAAAAANAGGAGCACAAAAAAATAGTCTGTCACTGTTTCCACCATTTCCCCATCTATTTGCCGTGAAGTGATGGGACCAGATGCCATGATCTTAGTTTTCTCAATGTTGAGCTTTAAGCCAACTTTTTCACTCTCCTCTTTCACTTTCATCAAGAGGCTCTTTAGTTCTTCTTCACTTTCTGCCATAAGGGTGGTGTCATCTGAGGTTATTGACATTTCCCCCAGCAATCTTGATTCCAGTTTGTGCTTCATCCAGTCCAGCATTTCTCATGATGTACTCTGCATATAAATTAAATAAACAGGGTGACAATATACAGCCTTGATGTACTCCTTTCCCGATTTGAAACCAGTCGGTTGTTCCATGTCCAGTTCTGACTGTTTCTTCTTAACCTGCATAAAGATTTCTCAGGAGGCAGGTCAGGTGGTCTGGTATTCCCATCTCTTTCAGAATTTTCCACAGTTTGTTGTGATGCACACAGTCAAAGGCTTTGGCATAGTCAATAAAGCAGAAGTAGATGTTTTTCTAGAACTCTGTTGCTTTTTTTATGATCCAATGGATGTTCGGCGATTTGAGCTCTGGTTCCTCTGCCTTTTCACTGGTAAGAGTGCAAATTGACACAACTTCTTTGGAAAACTATTTGATGGTATCAATCAAAGCTGAGAACACATATACACTATGATCCAACAATTATATTCCTAGGTGTAAATGTGTATGTATTTTACCAAAAGGTTTGACTAGAATAGAATGTTCATAGAAGCACTCTTCATAATCGCTCTTATGATAGTGATAGTGATAGTGAAGTCGCTCAGTCGTACCCGACTCTTTGCGACCCCATGGACTATAGCCTACCACGCTCTTATGTCCATGGGATTTTCCAGGCAAGAGCACTGGAGTGGGCTGCCATTTCCTTCTCCAGAGGATCTTCCCGACCCAGGGATGATAACTACCTAAATAAACATCAATAGTAGAATGGGTGACTATATAGTAGAACGGGTAACTAAATTGTGGTATATTACTATAATAATATGCTAAATAGCAATGATAATAAACAGCCTGCAAATGCAACAGTGTGGATGATTCTCGCAAAGGTAATGTTGATGCCAAGTATAAAATATACATCGAGCAGTTCCGCTTATATCAAGTACAAGACTAGGCAAAATTTATCTACAATGGTTGAAGTTGAAAGAGTTTCCTTTGAAGAAAGGGTGACATTTAGGGGGCTTCCGGAAGGCAGGAAATGATTTATTTTTTATCTAGATTATACAGGTGTGTTTGGTTTGTGAAAATTGATTGAACTCTACACTTAAAGGATATGTGTACATTTTTGCATGTATTTTAACTTTAAGAAAAAGTTTTAAAACTGAAAAAAGTTAGATGCAGATGTAGAGTTTTCAGCTGAATATAAGGAGATTTTAAATGATTGGAAGTTTTACACACTAAAGGAAGATTGTGATTTCTCTTTTTCTGGAAGAAGAGGGATGATAAAACCTTTTGGGATCTCTCAGAACTCTGGTTCCATTGGAACACTCAAAAAATAAACAACCTAAAATAATTCTTGCATTAAACCCTTAGCACCAGGCTTCTTGATTAAAGCTAAACTATTCTTATCTTTCAGATATTTTACTACTCAACCAGCATTTTCCAGACAGCTGGAATCAGCCAACCTGTTTATGCAACCATTGGAGTTGGTGCTGTCAACACAGTTTTCACTGCTGTCTCTGTAAGTGAAATACTCTAGATAAATATTCTGCTTGTTCCTCAGTCCAGAGAAAAACCCTTGTAACATAAAAGCAACCTGTGATTTATTGTCCGCATGTACTGGATATGTAGATAGAACCATGTGAGTCACAGGAAGAGTCCTAGATGTGAATAACCAACCATTATAGCGAGATTATGCATAACGGAACACATGGATCAATGGTTCTCCCTATATCCCAAAGATGTCATTTGTCATTCACTTGTGAATCAGGAACTCACTTGGGGACAAGACACTTGGTATTTTTGTGTAAATACCTAGGCTTTTTCTCCTTTGTTCTGTACTTAAGTCCCTTAATATTAGCAAATGTGTGTATGCATGCTCAGTCATGTCCAACTCTTTGCAGTCCCACAGACTGTAGCCCACTAGGCTCCTCTGGAACTTTTTCAGGTAAGAATACTGGAGCGGGTTGCCATTCCCTACTCCAGGGGAATCTTCCCGACCCAGGGTTTGAACCCTCTTGCGTCTCCTGCATTGGCAGCAGATTCTTTACCACTGCACCATCTGGGAAAGAAAGTGTGAAAGTGTTAGTCTTCAGTCATGTCCGACTCTTTGCGACCCCAAGTACTGTAGCCTGCCAGGCTCCTCTGTCCATGGGATTCTCCAGGCAAGAATACTGGAGCAAATAGCCATTCCCTTCTCTGGGGGAACTTCCCGATCGAGGGCAGATTCTTTACTGTCTGAGCCACCAGGGAAACGGAGAAGCACCACCTGGGAAGCCCCTGATGTTAGCAAACAGCTTGTCATTTCTATCGGTACTGGATCTTCCACCTCGATTCCTGTCCTTCCATGGTTGAAATTTTTTATCCTGATATCTTAGGGGAAAAAAAAATTTTTTTTAAATAGACATTGTCCTCTTGATTAGATATCTAAGCCTCTAGCAAAATTAAACTGATTGAGCAGATTCTTATGATGTTAGGCCATTGGGCAGAGCTTCTAGGCAGCTCTGAGGCTTCTCATGTAGCAAAGTTTGAAAAACATCTGCCTGCAGTGCAGGAGATCTGGGTTCAATTCCTGGATCGGGAAGTTCCCCGAGAAGGAAATGGCAACCCCCTCCAGTATTCTTGCCTGGAGAATTCCATGGATAGAAGAGCCTGGCAGGCTACAGTTTATGGGGTCACTTGTTTTTCATTCTCCACACATGGACTTTTAACTATTACCTAAGTGGTCAATAATTACAGCCTTGCTGCCTAGATCAAAAGGCAAGTTTGTCCAGACCACATTAAACAGAACTGGACCTTGGAAAGTGAAGGAAGAACAGATGATAAGGGAACACCAGTGCTTATGCCTCTAGAGTTAATGCTTGTTCAATCCAAAAGGCCACTCTAAAATCAATAAAGGATTGGTACTGGGATGAAATCCTAGCAACTATTTGCATTCCTTTGTCTCCTGAGATAATATTTTTGCAAATCCCACTTCAACATATTTTTCCCATATAGAGATTGTGATCAAAATATTTTATGTGTAATGGGATTTGCTATGTGAAGAATCAAGTTATCAAGATCAGGGAATCCAAACTCAAAGAATGCCTAAAAAGAAAACTACTATAGAATTCCATTGTTGTTCACCCGTCCAACCCTACCAACTCCATGGAGTGGGAGGAGTTGTTCCGAAAATAGTGTTCTGATTATTTTGAATATACCTTTTCAGAACTCATCCTTTTATTCTGTGAACATTTTTGCAGGTGTGACATAATTTTAAAAAATCAACTCTAATCAGCTATCTAATAAACCCTCCAGGACTACAAATAATATTTAACACTTTTAATTATATTTATTTTTGAAAAGTTTTAAAGTTCAAAGAAATACAAAAAGGATAACCTCTCAATCATCCAGATTCTCTTGCCAAAAATCAGCCAATGTTACTGAATTCCATGTATCCATTCAAATAACGATGTGCAAATAGGAATAAGTACTGATAACATAGGAATGTTTCAACAATTTGGAGGGAATATAATCCTTTTTTTTTTCCGAAAGAAGAATGGGAAAAAAAAAACTTCCAAAACTCAAGCCGAAAGAAAGTCCAAAATCCGTTTGTTGTTTTTTTTTTACACTAATGATCCAATAGATGGAAACCTGTAATCTTGAGTGAGAAAACAAAACAGAAAGAAATATGAAGCGAACTGAAAGACAGCATGGGTCTAGAGGAGAAAGAGCGCCTCCAAGTAGGCATTGAGGATCTAAGTGCTGCATGCTGTCTGTGGGGAAAATGGAAGTTAAGGTCAGGCATCCCGGTCTCTAAGCCCTGACCAAGTCTCACCCTGTATCAGGGCTCACCTGGCCCCAAGGGAACCTGACTCAATTTCCAAGGCATGTAGTTTTAGAATTTATAATCCTATCAGTAATACTTGCTCAGAAATAGAAGAAACAGACCTAGTGAAAGCCCTTTATGCCGAAGAACTGCTCCAGTTTCCTTGGCGGCTTGACATGGTGTCATCAAATCAACTTTAAAAGTCATAACATAGAGACAGTCAAAATATAGAGAGGAATTTTATGAACTAGAGGAGGGTTTGTCTTTCCCACTTCATTCTCAACAATTAAATAGGGGTTCCTTGCTTACCACTCTGGAGTGATCTGAAAGCCTGAGAAGAAAGGGGTTTTCACTGTAAGTGAAAAGAAATGTTTCTCAGATATTTTCAGAGCCAAAGCTCACTGCACTAAGAATATTGGATTGCTATTGATTTACTGATAGATTTATGAGAACAGCCAAGTGAGAAATTATGACAGGTAATTTTTGTGTGTGTGTGACTCACCAACTTTGGCAGTATTCCAAGAATCAAGCCAGAGTCTATTCAGCAAACTCTGGTCCTTGCTAATTGTAAATCTTAACCATTAGTGCAAAGATCCCAACCCAAAGGAATTGAAGCCAAGTCTCCTAAAATAGGATAAAAAAGCACTTTAACCTTTTGCTTTAAAGTCTTATCTTTCCAAGTGGATAGTTCATTACCAAGACCAAGTACTTTCAGGCTCACCAAACAAATACCAACCTGACTCTTTGGTAAGATGATCAAATTCTGTCTCCCCTAAGTGGTCACAATTTGACTTTGTTTGCAGTAAGGAAGCTGGGTGACGATGGTTGACACATCAATAATTGTACCATTTCAGGAGTCTGCAATGCTCAAACGCTTCTAATTATAACTTAGGATAGTTATCATAAGGGAAATTAATGTCATTTTTATGTAGACCCTTCATATTTTAAGGGTAGAGGAAATACTGGACATCCAAGATGTCCAGTCTCGAACTATTGCACCCAAAGTGATAAACATCAGGTGGTGATAACGCTATGGCTCTTTCTCTAGAATGACCTGTTCAAATCGACGTGACAAAAGGAAGACAGTATCTGTTCATCATCTCTGGTCACTGAGACTAGTTCTACCTTTCTGGGCAAGAGTCACTTCTGTCCTTAATTCCACATCTGCAAAATGGGATAATAGAATGGCTCCTTTTCAGCGGTATAAATTGAAAAGATCTCTTTGGCAGCAGAAACTATTTACTTGTAAAGCCAGAACGTTTTGACACTTCCCTAGGTGTTCCTGGTGGAGAAGGCAGGGCGACGCTCCCTGTTCCTAACTGGAATGAGTGGAATGTTTGTTTGCGCCGTCTTCATGTCTGTGGGACTGCTGCTCTTGGTGAGTTCCGTGCCTGCACTGAGATTTCTGGTTACCCGATGATAGCACTTCTGAGCCCCAAGTTAAACATCTGAGACATACTTGATGAAATAAAGCAAGAGGAACAGCATATAAAACAAGAGAGAAATGTAAAGAAAAAGAGAATTAGCTTCAGGGTTTAAAGACTGAACATCAGCAAGTAAATGGTGCTTGTCACCCAGAGATGCAGGGTGTATAATAACCAGGCTTCAATCCTGACTCTGCCACTTGGCTGCTTGTGTGACCTTGAACAAGTACCTAGACCTTTCTACCACTTTACAGGGTGTCACGCATCCTGCTACCGACCTTGGTATGGGTAGAAGCAGAGGTCACTGGATCCTTGCTTTGCTTCTTCCACAGGAAAAGAGTGACTGGGAGGCAGAGAAAATCCAAATCCAGAGGATTTCTTATAGCTCAAAAGATTTAAGGATGACTCAGACTAGGAAAAAAAAAAAACACACCTTGTCTACGACTAGAATAACTTATACTTAATTGAACATAAGCACATCAGGAAGAGGTCTATGTCCCCTCTGAACTCAACAAGGACTTGGCTAAAGGAAGAAGCAGTCAGTGATCCCAGTTCCACTTTTATTTTTCTTTTCTTCTCAGAATAAATTGCCTTGGATGAGTTACGTGAGCATGACAGCCATCTTCCTCTTCGTCTCCTTTTTTGAAATTGGGCCAGGCCCCATCCCCTGGTTCATGGTGGCGGAGTTTTTCAGTCAAGGACCACGCCCTGCTGCTTTAGCAATAGCTGCGTTCAGCAATTGGACAGGCAATTTCATTATAGCCCTGTGTTTCCAGTACATTGTGGTAAGCAGCCTAATTCTGTGCAGACTTACTGAACAGAAGATAAGGTTTAACAGCTGCTAATTGGAACTCTGTTTATTCTCTCTGCAGGACTTCTGTGGACCTTATGTGTTTTTCCTTTTTGCTGGTGTGGTCTTGGCCTTTACTCTGTTTACATATTTTAAAGTTCCAGAAACCAAAGGAAAATCCTTTGAGGAAATTGCGGCAAAGTTCCGAAAGAAGAGGGGTTCAGCTGCAACGCCAAAACCTGCTGTAGAAATGGAATTCCTCGGACCTACAGAAACCATTTAACCTACTTTTGGACATGAGCAATAACAGGAAGAAAGCAGTGTTTTTTCAATGACATTTTTTTGAGAATTTTATATCTGTATCTTGAATTACTGTTATTTTTTATAGAGACTTTATAGGCTCTGATCAGAAGTATCATCAAATATTACAAAAAAGTATTTTTTCTTTTAACTTAGAGACTCTATGTTGGGTGGTAAGACTGTAAGAAAACCAAAAAATCTAGCTCATTTTGTTACACTAACTGGTAAGTACATTTAATACAAAAAAAATTTTTTTGTTACTTTGAAGACCAAATGGTTTTTGTGAAATTAAACACTAAAAAGCCTGGTCATTTAGCATGGGTTATCAGTTAAAACAACCATCACAAACTTGTGCTAATTCCTTGCTGGCTCAATCCCTTGAGCTATATTTTGTTCTGCTTTTTTATTGACCACAGTCTGGTTTTCTGAGTTGTGTTATAAAATACAGTCAAACAGTAATAAATCAAACATTTGTTTATCTCCTCAAACTTCAAATAAGATATAGCAGTCTAACGTAGGAAATTGGAAGTAAAAGATTGCTCTGTTTGTTAAAAAATATTTTCTGAACTATTATGTTTTAAAATAGGTTGAAAAGCTAGGGTTGGAAGATCCTGAGGGTGACCTCCTGAAAATTCAAAAACATTGAATTTCAGCCTTGATCAAAATCCTTATTTAATTTTCCTGGAAAGACTGAGTTCCCAAACACAAAGCAATCATTCTTTTTCGTGTTTCCTTTTCTGCCTTGGCAGTATATGGAGCTATCTAAGCTGTTCCGTTAGATTGCGAACATTTATTGTACACTACTTATGTGCCAAACACTAAGTGCTTTTACCTATGTAGACAAATTGGAAATACACAGATGATTAAACAGACTTTCACTTAGTCAATTTTGCAACTATGGAAATACAGTTCTGAAGGATACCAAAGGCTTAAATATCTCCAGGCTCTTTTCCTCACAAAGTGGAACACTGAATCAATCCTTTTTACATTGGCTTTAATGTATGGAAGAGAAAGGCACTTTTAAAAAAGTCCTTTTAAAAAGGGAAAAAAAAAAACGAAAAACTGAAGGGGTTTGGTTTTTTTTTCTTTGACCAAAATTGTTTACCTTTATGTAATTTGACATTCCAAGCAACATGAAATTATTTCTTCTCACTTTGATTTTTGTTTCTTCTTGGCCAATTTGGGATCAGCTATGTTCCCTTAGCTGTTACAGGACACACAGTGAGCTTAAATAGTTTGGTAGACCTTTTTTTCTAAACTGTGAACTCAGTTTAAAAAAAAAAAAAGTAGGGACTTGGAGTCCTCATCCCAGGAAAATGCCTCATCCCATGGCTCCTGTCTTCTTCAGGATGCTGGTGGCCTTTGAGAAGCCCAAAGTTGCACCAGTAAAGAAATTTAACATATGTATAGGTGATTGATGTGATTTATTCAAATCACTATTCCTGATCTCATGTAGAATAAAGTAGTAAGTGTTTAGGACTTCCCTGATGATTCAGTGGTAAAGAATCTGCCTGCCAATGCAGGAGATGCTGGTTTAATCCCTGAGTCAGGAAGATCCCCTAGAGAAAGAAATAGCTACCCCTCCAGTATTCTTGCCTAGAGAACCCCATGGACAGAGGAGCCTGGTTGGCTATCGTCCGTGGGGCAGCAAAGAGTCAGACACAACTTAGTGACTGAAAAACAACAAATTAGAGTTTAAATAAAGAACCCACAAGACCCCTTTTAAGTTTTGATTAATTTTTCTGACTGACCACAAATACTCAAAATTCAGACCCTGAAGTTTTCTGCCTCAGAGAAATATAAATAGCATATATTGTTTCCCTTTCATAATTTTTTCCTTGCAAAGATACAAGTGAGTTGAAAAGAAACATTCAGATGAAACAAGCGGTTAAAGCTTCATACTAAAACAAAGGAACTAGCTTAACATAATAAAAACTCCTAGGTTCTCAGCAATATTCATCATAATATATAATAAAATTGGCACTAATTAATTAGATTTAATCCCTGGGAAATTAGATGTGAGTTTGAATGCTTAATTTTCATAGTACACTATCATTTTTGTGGAGTCATTTTCATAGTCGAACATCTTTACAAATGTGATCTTCTCTTAACTTGCTCGGAGCATGATCCGGTCGCTCATCTGCTACATCTAGTATTGTCCACTGTCCTGACACCAAGGCAGGGACCACCTCTAGTTCCTCTTCCCCACTCCCTTCTACAGGATTACTGTCATGCCCGCTGAGACACAGTAAGAGAGTGCCTCGCCTCAAGGAGCTCAGTCTGTTGAGGAGTGCAGGAAAATCATCTGCATTTCTTGCCTTCTATCGCCTCAATGTAAAGGACTTTGTAAATAAAATGCACTCAATAATATACCTACCTCAGAGAGCTGTGAGGATTAAACATAAAGTGCTAAGCAGAGTGCCTGGTACAAAGAGGGCACTCAATAAATGTTACCTAAAGTTAGTATTCATGACAATACTGTTAGGACGCAGAACTATCATATATAAGATAGTTCCAATATTTTTCTTTTGAATAAAAAAATTTTTATAAATGCAATATTTTCTTACTTCCAGCAACAATCCTACAATGACAAAAGAATTGTAAGAATTAGGAGGAATATTAGGCTGTCTAATACTTAAACACATACTTGATATTTCTAAGTAGGGTGTAAGAGTTTTTCTTGTATTTTTTAAATTTGCTTTTGCCTAAGTTATTTTTAAGAGGTCTATATGTAGTATTATTTCTTTGGATAATGCTAAGTACAAAGTAAAATGCTAAGTATCATATATAAATGTAACAACAGGATTAAATCACAGGACAAGGCCAAGTCTACTTGATAAGATGCAAAAACTGCAAAAATGAGAGCTTTTCTGGTGGTCCAGGGGCTGATTCCATGCTCCCAATGCAGGGGCCTGGGTTCCATCCCTAGGAATGAGGGAACTAGATCCCACATGCCGAAACTAAAAGATTCTGTGTCCCGCAACGAAGATCAAAGATCTTGTGTGCTACAGCGAAGATCTGGCACAGTCAAATAAATATGGAAATAAAATTAAAAACATTTAAAATATTAGATTACCTAAAAAGGTGTAAAAATAATTACTAAAGTGTATAAACTAGTGTACATAGATATTTGTTGCTAGCTAATTATTGTATACATAGCAAACAAAGCAATGTTGGGTGGTATCTTGTGCTTACAGTGTCCTAAGGAAAGGTGTTAAGTAAAGTGTGAAAAAATATAATTTTTCATTACAATTGTATATTAGTGATCTGAGGAGAAAGGGTTTACTGCCGATCACTCTTGAGCCATCTGCTGGTGTTTTTACTGCTTTCTAGTTGAGTGCACGTTAGAAAGAATCATCATGAAAATGCACGGTTTTAGTTATGAGTGTATATACACTGCAGTTTGATGTCAATAAATATATTTCCAATTGTTGTGTTACTTTATTTTATGTAGAAAACAACCACATTTAAGAAAATTGGTATTGGTTTACTGTATATAATCATTTCCTTCTCACAGCATCTTTCCTGTTCTCATTTTAAAGATAATATGTGAGTTGTGTTTTAAATCCAAATTTTATTTCCATCAAGCAGTTGTTTTGATTATCAGTTTAGTAGGAAAAACTAACCAGTAGGCTAGGTGAGAACAGTTGAAGAGGAATGAAGGACTCCCTTTGATGAAAATAGAAATGCTTTAATTCAGTAAATATTTAATTGAGCTACTACTATGAATACAACACTTTATGAAAGTTTTGTAAAAGATACAAAGCTTAGAAAACATGGTTCCTATCTTCAATCACCTGCATTCTCATAATGAGACTAAACTTTAAAAACAAATAGTTATGGTACAAGGGACAGAATAGGAAAAACTGTAAGTTCGTGGTTTTAAAATTTTTTAGTTGGCATCTAAAATTTTTCGTCATACACTTAAATAGCTGCAAAGGATATAACTTTTCAAAATATATATACATTTAAAAATTGCTATGCTCTATTTATCCAATAGCATTTAATTACCATAGTAATTTGTTACTCACCATAACCATTTTTGATGAAATTATTCATTTCCTTATTTCTAAATTTTCACCATGAAATTTAAGAACACTAGCAAATAAACAGTACATATAAAAGCATCTAGAAAGTAAAGACAGGTCACATACAAAGAAACAGGATTCATAAAAGCATGTCATATCTGAATAGCAGCTGTGAAAGCTGAAATGCTGTGGAACAACACCTACAAAATTCTAAGGGAAAATGATTTTCATCCTAGAATTCTGTTCCCAGATGTACCATCATTTGAGTGTAAAAGTAGAATTAAGTATATTTCCAGACATGCAAGACTCAAAAATTTACCTGTTCTGTACCTTCTCTCCTGAAGCACGAGGAACGTGTACTGTGCCAAAAAGAGAGAGAAAGAGAGGAAAAACTGAGAGCAAAAGACATGGAATTCAGCAAAAGGGGAGAATGAAAGTTAAGTCTCAGGGCATGAGTCATAGGTGACGGCAAGCACCAGGGCCTAGGAAACAACCAGTTCAGACTGAAGCAAGAAAAGGAAGGTTCTGGGGGAAAACAGAACTAAAATATTCTCTGATGTGTTTGGCCATATGAGGAATAATTTGGAACCTTTAGGAAAAAAGAATAGTGCCAAACACATAGGAAACTAAACAAATGCAAATTCGAGGCGATTATGAATTCCTGGGGAGAGAGTGGGGGCAGGGAGCAACATAAAGAAATGTCCTGGTGCACTACTTAACTCAATGGTGAACAAGTATTTACACAATTCTGTAAAACACTGGATATTGTTACAATTCTCATTTTCAAATAAAATTTATAATAGTACTGTATTATGAGATATGTGGGAAAGAAAGGTGAGGAATTGTGAGGAAAAGCTCAATGATAATTAACACAGTAGGTTGTTGACACATAGCCACCAAAATCTATAAAGCAAAAAATATCCATATGAGGCTATGTGCTGTTTACCTGCTGTACCCTGCTCTGTGACTCAGAAGGCTGGTCTCTTCTGGCTGTATCATCTAGGTTCCTTGTCTTTTGCTTCTAGTTGAGTTTGCTTACTGGGCTGCCCTGGTGGGAAATGGAAGGATAAGAAGAGGGAGAAGGCAGGCTATTGTTTCCTTCAGCTTCCAGCCTCCCTCTCCCTGGGCACTGACTATATTCCTCCACTTATGGCCACAGCTTCTGTATAGCTCCAGTTACACTCATTACTGGGTTCTGGTAATCATTCCCCCAAATCTTGCCTGTTAATCCTAGAGCTGGTAATGGCATCATACTACCGTGAGTTCTGCTACTACTAGTCCCAGGTACTTGACCATCCCTTTCTGTTCCTTAACTTGGCCTCCTCCTTTGTAAACTGTTTCTTCATTAAGCTTCTTTAACCACTCCTTTGCAGTGGGCCAGCTGCTTTTGATGAGACCCAAACAATACAATATATGAACTTGAACTTGGAAATTAAAGCTTTAAGAAACAATTAAAAATTTTTCAAGGGGCTTCCCTGGTGGCTCAGTGATAAAGAATCCACCTGCCAATGCCAGAGACACAGGAGATGCAGGTTCGATCCCTGGGTTGGGAAGATCCCCTGAAGGAGGAAATGGCAACCCACTCCAGTATTCTCGCAGGGAAAATCCCATGGACAGAGGAGCCTGGTGGGCTACAATCCATAGGGTTGCAAAAGAGTCAGACACAATTTAGCAACTAAATAACAGCAACTACAAAAAGTTTTCAAATATTCAACTATAAGAAAATTCATGGTTGAAGAAGGCTGGGACAAGAACTTATTGTGTTTTTTTCAAATATATGTAATATAAGCCTGTACTATTATTTGACCTTTAAACTATAGATATGCATTACTTTATAAAAATAAAAAATTATTGCATAACAATAAATATTTTAATTTAAACTATTGAATCAATGATAAAATGCTACATAGCACAAAAGTGTATGAGATTATATATACCAAATATATTTAATTTTTTAATTTTTTTTCAAATATATTTTAGATAGATGAGAGAGGCTGAAAGAGTAAAGAGAGGT